CAAAGCCAGGAAAAGAAGAGATGAGAGGGGAATGAGGTTTAAAAAAAAACCCTGGGCTGAGCAGCAATTGAGTTTTGAAACTAGGGAAAAGTGGACAGAGAAATGTTTTTTTGCAGGATGAAGCTGGGAGGGTGTGGAGATGCTTGTGGATGGCAAGGCTGCTGATGCTCATGGCGAAGAAACCCGTGTGGAGCAGAGACGTCTGGTGTGCAGGACACAGAGCAGCTGAGCTGGGGAAGGCTTTCCTCCAGACAAAACCTCAACGGCAGCAGAGACTCTGCAGATGGCACTTGCTGGGGAAAAAGATTCCTGTCTATCGGCAGAGCCCCATGTGAAACACCAGGGAACAGCAAGCATTTGCTCACGGGCACAGGGAACAAGCAGATGCACAGGGCAAGCTGCTGCACAAAAGGGAGCTCGATGAGAAGCCCCTGCTCTTCTCCAGAAGTGCATTAAGTCCTTGCAGCGGAGCAGAGAGAGGAGCAGCCATGAAGTTGCAGCTCTGGGGGGGATCAGCATCCTGCAGCGCTGCTGAACCGTCCCTGGGGGGGCACATCTCACCTTTCCCCCCACCACCAGGAAAGGGCTTTACCTCCATCCGGGGAGATGCGAGCCCTGACATGACAGCAAAAGTAATTACAGCAAAGCGGTGCTGACACCGCTATTGATTTTGGTGACAAATGCGTGATGGGCTTTTTTTAACTCCTCGCGGAGGAGCACGGGTGAAACCTGGCAGATCCCCAACCAGCCAGGTCAGCCACACCGAGGTCCTGGGATGAGCCAAACCACCGTGGAGCCGCACAAACACAGCTGACTTCTCACCAATTTTAACACCACAAGCTGACAGCACGAGGGGGATTTGCAAGCACATCTGAGGGCAGATGCTGGAAGCTGCCCCTTCCAAAGGAGGTGGACACGTTTTCCCAGGTCACCTCCACGTCGGGACGCTGCAGGTATCAGATGTGACAAACAAAATCCTCCCAGCCCCTGCATATTCAGTTGGCATCTCTTTGCTTCATAAATCAGAGCTGCCAACTCCCAGCTTGCCACTAATGAGTTCAGCCCAACCAATATCGCTTCACCCCCACACTGGGCTCACAGGTAAAAGCACTGAGAAAAGTCCTCCCTGATTTATGAGCAAAGCCATCGTGACCTGGAAGAAATCAGGGTGGCATAAGGTGGGATGAAGTTTTGCATTTCCAGGTGCCATGACATGGGAGAGATCTGCTCCAGCCAGGATGAAAACCAACCCGGCAGAGGAGTTGCCAACATGTACAAAAATGCTGGAAAACCTGAAGGTCCAACTCGCTACACCTAGGGAAGCAACAATTATGAGTATTTTATACATCAAAGTCCATTTAGAAAAGCAAATATCTTTCCTCCCATATCTTTTTTCCAGCCCAAGCTGCTTTGAGAGATAAAGCAGGTGGAGGAGGTCACGATGGCTGCGCTATATGAAATGTCTTTCAATTGTCCGCACGATCGCAATGGTCCATTTCCTGATGAAGGAAAGCACTTTCCCTTCCCCTGGAAAGGCATCGCTGCCTTTACAGCCGTTACCTATTGCTGCAACCCCCCTTACTCGCTACCAGGTGGCTCCTCGAGTTCGAGGGAAAGGAGCTGGTGCTAATCACTGCATAGAAAATAATACCCGTAACTTGAGTGATCTCAAAATTAGGTTTTTGGAAATACCTAAATGAACCAGATGGGCTTGTTCAAGGTGACACCCGCTCAGACTGACTGTCTTCCACCAGCTCAGCCCCTCTGGAGGCTGGGAAACACCAGACGCATCCAGTAACAAACTGGTGCTCAGCACCCACTTATCTATCACCTGGATCCATGCATGCTTCCACTGTATTCCCAGATATGACAGCTTTATTTTTGCCAGGTGAGGGAGGAAAGCACAGGGGAGGGCAACTCCAGCTGCAGCTGGCTCCCTCGGCTCCCAGAGCCTGGTGGGAAGCTCTTGGTTGGCATGGGGGGATTTTGACAGCAGGGGTTGGGAGTTGTTTCCCATAGCGTATGCACTGGGGTGATCAAAAAATGCCTTTTCTTACACAGATCAAAACACTGCACATGGGCTCTCAGATTGCTCACACCTAAGGCAGCAACAGGACCAAATGCTGCTGGTTCTTCCTCAAAACCTGACTGGAAACACAGATTCAGACAGGGGCTTGTGTGGTTTGCAATTCCTCCACCGCACAGCCTTGCTTCCTAGTTTGAAAGGTGTCAGATGAGAAATAGTAGATCCCTGCTCTGTATTTAGGTGCTGGAAAATCCTTCTGCCAAACCTGGGGCTAATCGGGCACAGTACTTAGGCTATAATCTCATTAGGGGCCAGAGCGAGGAGAGAGGCTCTGCAGATGGCAGAGCGAGGGTCCCAAAGCAGAGTGTGCCATTACTGTGCTCCATGTAATACCTAAAACTAAATTCTGCCTGTCAGAGCACAGCAGCTGTCCCAGGAACATGCTCTCATGGAGTAAGTGCAGACAGGGATTGCCAAACCAGGCGGCTGCCCGCTGTCGCACCAAGAAAAGCCCCTTTGCTTTCCCCACACCTCATCCAGCAACAACCCTGTTTGTGCTGCAGGACTGTCCCCAAACTTTTCCCACCTGAAACTGGCTTCCCTGGGTGGTTTTGCCAATGACAAATGTGTTTCACGGGGCTGGGACACTCAAATCCTTGGTCTCGTCACCACCACTCGCTTCCTGTGAACCAACAAATCCCACCGGGCTCTCAGCAGCTCTGCAGAGCAGAGCCTGTGCCAGTGTCCCTGCCTTTCTAGTGTCTTTTATCAACAACTGGAATAAATCCTCTGCAGACACTGAAGACAAGACAGAAGCCCTCTCCACACAAAGGAAATCACAACAAATACAAAAGTTGGGTTTTTTTTCCTTTGGGAAACAAACTTGAGAGCGGTACAGCCACTTCCCAGTGCTGACACAAGACCGAGGCGGAGGAAACTCAATTCCTCTTTCCTGTCCTTAAAAGGAAAGGAAGTATTGCTCTCACTAAGTAATATTTTTATGTTTTAAATCTCAGAGCCAAGATCCAGCGACTCTCAACATGCACTGGGCAGAGATAGGACTCCAAGCATCGCTCTGCAAACCCCGGCAGCTCAAAGCACTTCCCCTGCCTCATTTTTGGGGATAGCATTCTGCTGGGGTGACCAGAAACTCTCCCACATCCCAGAGTAATGTGACTGTACAAAATCAACGGAGTCAATGCACATCAAGAAAGAAAACCACCACCTTTCCTACTGCTTGGTCTTCTCTCTCCTAGGTGGATCCCCCACTAGGTTTTGGAAGGGACAGAAGATTTGCCAGAGAGCTCTAAAGTCTTCCTGGCTCGTGCTTGTTATCGCTGTGCCCGTCAGCCACACTTTTAATTTAATGTTATTTTCCAAGCGATCTGAAATCTCTAAGTATATTTGTTACTGGACATTTCTCAGGTTGCCCACTCAGCTTGTTGCATTTTAACTCCTCAGGTTTGCAAGAGATGTGATGCCCACGCTAGGATATGAAGAGGGCTCAAGAACACACCTTTTCCTGGCAAAGGGCAGGCTGAGCCACTGGGTTGGGAATTAATGGTGATTAAGCACTGTGTCTCCTCTCTGCTTTGCTCTGGTTTCCACAAACCTAATCATGTCAGAGGGAAAGAAAAGAAAAATCTACCCAAGCATGGCTAAACCTATTAAACTGAGACACAGTGCCACACCCAGGAGGCAAATAAAATATAAGCAGGCATCTGTGCTGTCATAAAAAAAGCTTCTGTGATATTTCTTGTGTGACCTTTTATTCACTTTGGTTACTGGACAGGCAGGATTGCCTATGGAAAGCTGTCGATGGAAGGAGAAGAGCTCTTCAAGCCAACAGTCTCCACCTTGCAGGGCTGGGAAAGCAGGGTGAGTGGGAAGAGGTGTGTGGTGAGGCTCAGGTGTGTGAAGCACAAGGGGCAAAACCTCTGGAAACCTCTGGAAACATGTGATGTGGCATAAGCCACACGTCGACGTGCCCTGTCGCACGCAAAGCCAGCAGGAACGAGGTTGAAATCTCTCCTGCAAACCACGGGCATGGCAAGGCACCTCTGTGCCTCATTAATTAAGGCAGTGAGTAACATGGGTAATGCTTTAGACCTTTCCTACCTAGATAGGGACCTGCCTCGCTGCATGCGCTCGCTCCCAGCTTATCTGCTGCTATTTCAGCATTTCATACCTCCAAATGCCAAGCTCCTCAAAATACAAAACAACGCCAGCCGAGCTTTCCGAAACCCTGGGCGGTGTTTAGGATAACAACGGGACGGGTGTATGGAACCCTGGGCTTCTTCCAGGGCGCAGGGCCGGCGGCGGGGGTGGGATAACGCGCCCAACCGTGCCACCGCGGCGCCGAGAGGGCCACGGGAGTCGTGCCGGGGGAATGCAGGGAGACACACCGTAACGCAAGGACAAGAAAAGCTGCGAATTGAGCACATTTCTGACAAAAAAAAAAAAAAAAAAAAAGCCGCTCGCCGCCCCTGTCTGCCCCGCGCGCCGCCACCCATCCACGCCACGGCCGGGCCTGACCCTGCTCAGCTTCCCGGCACGCTCCCACAACAGGCGTGAAAGGCAGCCAGCGGGCCCCTCCCCCCCGCCAGACTGACGGGCAGCTCGACCAATCGTGGCGCGGGATGCTGCCTGGCGGCCAATCAGCGCGACCAGAGGGCGGCGCACCGCTCACTTCCCGGCCGCTGCCTTCCTCAATGGGCCCGGCCGCCGCCTCGACGGGCGGCCCCGGCCACCGCTCACCCCCGGTTCGAGCCGCGCTCCGCCTCGTTCTCGCAGTCGCTGCAGTGCTCGTGGTCGTTCTCCTCCGCCGGCGGCCGCGAAGGCCTCGCCGGTGGCCTCCTCACTGCTGTCTCACTGTCGTCCGCCATCTTGAAACGGGGCCTCGGCGCCTGCCGCGCCCCCACAACAAAGCGCGCCGCGATTGGGCGGTGGGCCGCGGGGCGCGCCGGGACTGGTAGTCTGCGAGGGCATGTGGAGGCCGGGCCGCGCCGGGGCCGGGACTACAGTTCCCGTCGGCCTTTGGGGCCGCCCCGGGGCGGGGCTCCGGGGGCGGAGGGGCTCTTTCACACCGGGGCAGCTCTTCAAGGCCACTCGCCGCGGCGGAGAGCGCGACCCGTCCCCTCCGTCGCCCGTTCCCTGCGGAGGCCGCGGTGCTCCGGCCCTACCCGCTTCCGGCTCGAGGGGGCGGGCCGAGCCTCAAGGAGGGCAGCGCCGATTGGCTGGGAGAGGGACCCCTCTTCCCACCAGCCAATAGGCGCGCGGAACACTGCGCCGCGTGTGAAGCCCGCCAGCGGGTGAGTGGGTGAGGGCACCGTGAGGGGACCGGGCGGCCCTGCCCCGCTCCGCTCCCGGCCCCGCTCCACTCCCCTCCCCTGCCCAGCCCAGCCTGACCCCCCCCGGCCGTGTCACAGGCCCTCAGCAGGAGTTTGGGAGTCCCCACCCCGGGTTTGGGGAGGCCCGGAACCGGGCTCGGGACCACCAGGAAAGCGCCTTTTTGCAGTCAGGGCCCTGTCCGGCAAAAACTGTCGGTACATGGGGCTTGGTTCGGTACCAGCCAACAGACCCTGGGGGGGTGGTTCACAGTGGCTGTTGTGGTGGCAGCTTTCCCCCCGCCCAGGTAACGATGTGTTTTATGATTTTTTTTCCTTTTAATTGCAACCTCTTAAAGCCAAACACCGGGTTCGCCAGTGCGTCAGGCCCCAGGCGGATTCGTGGGTGGGAGCAGGAGGAGGGCTGGGTGTAGCGTGGCGCTGGGGGACGCCTTTCAGCTCTGCCTGCAGTCCACGGCACGCCGGGTGGGTGGCTTGAGGCATGCGGCTTGTGCTGGGCTCAAAAACCAGAGGAGTCAAGATGCAGGGAAAATCTGGGCACCCTCAGTCTTCAAAAGCTGCTTCTTTAGGGCTCTGGGTTACATATCCCAGGGCACCATTCCTCCCAGCAGGAGTAACCTGCTGAGTTTTCCAGTCTGACTACCCCGTCACTTGCGTTTTGGCTTTCCCCGTGTTTGATTTAGTTGGTGCATGCCAAATACACCAAAAAATGGTGTATTTTGGGGAAAATTGGTTCTGGCTTCTGCCTGTAACATCTGCAGGAACAGGCTGGACTCTCTACCCTTGTGTACAGTTCGAACCCAAGCTTGTTAAATATTTATACCTTCTACTGTGGATCTTATATCTGTACAGGCCCTGTGACATTACAAGTGTTTTCAAATCCTGTTTGGCTGTGGTTTCTAGAGTAACCCTTCCAAGTGCTCTTTTACCCCTGCAGTAATTCTCGCAGCAGGCCGCCTGACTGCAGAGGTATGTAACGGAGGGACAGAAATAGCAGGTTTTTTTGGGACCAAGTCCCAGCTGAGGCTGGAGGCCAGAGTGTCGGGATTACTGCAGTTAAAACCCTGTATTTACTCTACATGGGCAGGAGAGATTTTTATGTATTTTTAAAAGACATACAAGCAGAGCCTCCACCCCTGCAAGGCAGTACACTGAAGTCCTGATTCTTCTCATGCAGCGTTAGCCCTTGTAGGCTGTTGCAGAGGGCGTATAAAATCCAGGAAGGGCAGGATTTTAACCTGCTGCAATAAATAAACAGCCCCTCTGTTGCTCTGAGTCCACTGTAGTTCTGGGAAAGGCTCCCTGTGGGGACAGGGTACTTGCTTGGCAACAAAGCTTGGGACGTATGTCAGCCTCCTGCAAAGCACTGATGTTTATTATAAGAGCCCTTTCTGATTCCCTTTGAATTCCCCCTTGTTGTTGCTCGAGTTAACCCCATCTGTTTGCCTGACGTCTTGGAAGGGAAAAGAACACGTGGTGCTGCTGCGGGCTGGTGTCAGCTCTCGGCAGCCGTGAAGAAAAGTCACGTTGCGATGCTGCTGGCTTTTGCTATAACTCCTGCTTCCTCCCTCTGCTGAATTGCCTACAGCTGCCGGAGGACATAGATACCCCTCTCCTCACCCCCCAGACCATGGGTCTTCACCCTGTTTGTAGGGCCAAGTTATGACAAAAGTGTCTTTTTTTTCTAGCAAAAAGGAAGTACTGGTGTATTTTCTTCAGCTGTCCTGCAGGCCTGTGTTCCTGACTGCTGCCCTTGGGTGCAAAGTAGCGTGGTTCTTCTTCGTGGGGGACAGTGAGAGCAGTAGGTGCCTGATTCCTGTACGTGCAAAGTTTTTTGGGGGCTGGTAGCCATGGTGTCTGGAGGGAGGTGTGACACCAGAACCACGTTAGGCAGAGCGATGGTTATGGAGATCATTGGGTTTTGGGGTACGTAGCTCACCAGGAGATGTGATGGGAGCTGGGTCTCCCTTCCTCAGGGCAAGAGGAACCTGAGGGGTGTCTACCAGCAGCCTGTGGCTCCCGGCCAAAGATGTTGGAGCCACTTTCTTATCAGATGCAAGGGGCAACAGCCACAAGCTGGGACTTGGGAGGTTCAGTCTCCTCACCCATGAGGGTGGCATTGCCCTGGATGAGGTGACAGCAAAGTCAGGGTCTCTGTCCTTGGGGATTTGCAGGACTCGGCTGCACAAAGCCCTGAACACCCTTGGCTGTGGCCAGTGTTGGCCCATGGGGGTTGGAGAGGGGATGCTGGTGTCTGTTCCCAGCCTGCTGTGGCTGTTGCCTTTTTGGGGATGCAGATACCACCTTGCTCCCAAGAGACCCCACTCCTATCCAGAGCTGCCCCTGCATCACTGAGCCTCTTGGTTTTGAAAGGGCTCAGGCGGGATTTAGAGGGTTGCAGAGTTTGGATTGAGTGGGGAGAGATCTCAGTGCAGAAACTGTAAGAGAAGTCATCTGCTCCAGGTCAGGGGTTTCCCAGTGCCTTCCCAGCTTCAAGGCCATCAGCAAGCACAGACTCCATGTTTAGTGCCGCACTTGCAAGCGAACAGACACAAGTTTGCTGCTCAGAGCTATGATTTCTTGTGTTCATTGGGCTGCCGATGACTCTGCTGGCTTCCAGGTAGCACGGGGATGCGATTTACTTACTGCCTTGTGTGGTTTGTATCCAGATTATGTCAGAGGTAGCCTATCTCCTCTTAAAGTCCAGCTGTGGAGATCAAGCAGGGCTATCACTCCCAGTCCTTGTGCTTCTTGATCTGGGCTGAGATGTTTGAATTCTTCCCCTTCCTCGCTGATCCTGGGTGACCCTCAACAACCCTGACAGAAACTTCCTCTGATTTAGGGTGCTGTAGGTGAGACTGTGGCTTAATGAGTGCAGATGCTAAAGGGGCATGAGTTGTGTGGAGCTGCAGCTAAACCAGCTGGAGGAATTTAGGGCTGTCTCAGGTTGCACATCCAGAGTTAGCAGGGTCCAGGGAAGCCTCATTGAACCCAGTGCTGTCCATCAGCCTGTAAAACAGGGGTACCCAGCTCAGAGGGGTGCCAAAATCCTGCTAACGTCTCAGCAATGCCCTGAGAACATTTGAAAATGAGCTTTGAATGAAGTTGCCTGTTTGGGATAAATATTTGATGTGCACGGCATGAACAAAATGGCCCTGTCCTGGCATGTTTTCAAGCTCTTTTCTTTCCGTTTCAGAGCACAATGTTCCTGGTTGGACTCTCGGGTGGAATCGCGTCGGGGAAGAGCACGGTGGTGGCCGTGCTCCGGGAACTGGGCTGTGCCGTGATTGATGCCGATGTTATTGCCAGAGAGGGTGAGTTTTGCATAGTTGATCTTTCTCCCTGAGGTTCCCCTGACAACTGGGATTGATGTGGGGAAGCGCAGACGGCAGAGGGTGCTCTGGGTACATTAGATAAGTGTTTCCCTCCCATTCCCCAGCCGATGAGGCTGCATGGAGTGTCTGTCTTGGAAGGGATTGGAACTAGAATATATTTTTAATAAAGAAAAAAAATAAAATCACATCCTAATAAACACTGTGGGGAGATCTTGCCCTGAGTTTCCCTCTCCTGGAGTGCAATGCTTCCCGGCTTTGAAAGCCAACTCCAGGCAAAATAAATGTGGTTCTCTGTAAAGCAGGTTGCCTCGGCTGATCTCATGTACCCCCTAAGCCCCAGGACACCCATCCCATAACTTGATTACATTAGGTGGGATCACTAACACACTGAAAGAGAATTTCCCTCTGTGCTGCATGTTGCTTGCTTGGAAATACTGAGAGATTGGTCCACAAAATTACTCGTGCCTTAATGCACTCAGAAAAAAGAGGCTCCAGATATCCAGATCAGAGGGAATTCAGTCTGTGCTTCTGCGCAGCACACCTGCCTCTCGCTGCTTTTGAAATGTGATGTCCTGACTACAGAAAACACCCAGAAATCCGGCTCTGTTGCCTCAGCAGGACCAGAGCAGACCCTGCTTTCCCTGATTACTTGTGCGATGCGGCGCAAGATGATAATCCCTCCGTACCGCCGGGATATCAGGGAGAGCAGCGCTCGCTCCGGGAAGGGATGCTCATTTGGTATGCAGAAGGTTTTGGGTCTGCAGCTGAGCAGCGGTGCAGGCGGTGTCATTTTGAAGGGCCTGCACTTTTCTATTTGGTGAAGAACTTACCGTGTAGCCGCTCAAAGCTGTGATGCTCTTAACATTTTATTGCACTGTAATTCCCCTCAAGGTGCAGAAAATTTGCTGGAGGGGCTAAAAGCCCTCAGAGATGATAGGAAAACACTACAGATACTCAGTGTCAGTTTTCTACCAATCACTTCATTTTTCTTCAATTCCTTTTTTATATGTGTTTATTTACTATATGGATTTCACCCATCCTGAAACTGCCTTGATGTGAAATTCCATGGGAGAATGAAATTGGTCTTAAAGACTTTTATTAGGTTGGCCTGAGGTTACAACCTGTGGCAATGTTCCTGGATTTTGGAGAGAAAATTATATACGGTCTGTCATTCTCTGTGGTTAGCCTCAGCTTGATCTTAATTATGGTTTTATTACAGCATCCTTTTTGTTGGTGATTTTTTTTGTGGCTTTAAAATGACATGCTCATGTAATGTCCCTGCAAATACCTATTGGGAATTGATGTCTCGGAAGGTTTCTGTGCTCATTCTCATGAAGAACTTGGTGACTGAGGTGAAAGACAGTAAAAAAACGTAGTAGCAGCCAGAGCCAATTTGTAGCAGCCGGGCTGTGTGCACCTAGCACTGAAGTTTTCAGCTGAAATAAACCTGACGCTGGTCCCGGTCCCTTTAGGATCAGCCTGCCCGACTCCTGGCCCTGCAGGCAGTGGGAATCGGCTCAGCCCCGTCCCTGCCCGTGCCTTGGCTGGTAGCCATCCGCGAGCCCTCCCGCCCGCCCTGCTGACTTCTAACCCCGAGCAGCAGCATGCACGAGGGAGGGTTGTGGTGCTGAATTAATGTTTGCAGGATGCTTCGATCTCTCGGGTGACAGCCCTCAAAGGGACCTTGGGCTGAGAGGGTTTTTTGCAGCCGCTTCCCTGCAGCACCAATGCCAGGTGTCTGCCGGGCTGCGGCGCTGAGCCACGCCGGTCTGGCTTCAGCGTGTGCTGGCAGGCAGATGTGCCGCCCGCCGCGGAGAACGAGCTGGGTTATTTAATGAACAAAACTCATTTGAGGCCGATTGCTGATGCAAACACCGACTGTGCTGTAGACCTGGCTCTAACTTCCGGCTGTTTAATGTTATCAGTGGTGCAGCCCCACTTCAAGGCCTATCGGCAGATAGTGCATTACTTTGGCACCGAGATCCTCTTGGAGAACGGAGAGATAAATCGTGAGGCTCTAGGAAACATTATCTTCTCCCATCCGGAGAAGCGGCAGCTGCTGAACTCCATCACCCACCCAGAGATCCAGAAGGAGATGCTGAAGCAGATCTTGAAGTACTTTGTGCTAGGTAAGAGGCCGTGTCTCAGCGCACCGGGACTCCTGCCCAGGCAGGAACTGTCCCTGCTTGCTCTGCCTTTGGTTTTTAAGTGGGGAGAGGAACGGGGGAGGAGAAGGGCAACCGTCGTTGAGTGACGGCCTTTGTGCTCTGCCGCCAGTGGCCTTTCGTGTTGGTGTTTAGAGGATTCATTCCTGCCTTTCACTGCTGCCCTTCACCACCTTCATCTTCTGTGGTTTAAAGTACATCTGTAGGGCCTCAGAAAAGTATTGTGAGGCCTCTTCTGAGATTACTTGCTGGATAATGTCATACCTTCCGAAATGGCCAAATATTCTTCTCTGCCCCCAACCGCCCCAGGCTTCAATGAAAGCTGTGGAGCCCTTTTAGTCTCGATAAGGTGAGAAATGGGCTGACAGCTGTGGTTTCCAAAGTCCTGCTTTTTCCCCTGATAAATATAACAAATACAGCTGTCAAACTTGGTCTAATCAAATGCCAGATAGGATCACCAGCTGTTTTGGAGGTCTCTGTGTAGAAAGAAGGATGTCTTAATAGAGTCAGTCTGGTTTTTGCGAAGCCTATCAAAGCTGAGCCTTGTGACAGCTGAATAGGCCAGTGCTGGGGCACGGTGAGGGCCGTGCTCTGCTGCAGGGCGAGGAGGAGAAAGCGCAAAGGAAGCAACAGGCAGGAAAGCCGGGAGCCAGAGATGGAGTCTTGAACCCAGGGCTGTGGGTTTGGGAGGCGGATGCTGTCCTGCCCCTCGGCGAGAGCACCATGTGTCTTCAGCAGGCTGCTTTGTCCTCATTAGTCAGGTTTTAATGATTTGGGATAGCTGGATGTTGTCTCTAAGGATCGCTGTGTAAGGAAAGCTCTTATCGATTAAACCGTAGGGCAGCAAGAAGTCTCTCTGGGCGGAGATGCTGGTAAAAATGGTGCTTTGTTGGATGATGATGTCTTTGTCAAGGCTTTTATTGCCGTGGCCAGCTTGGTGAGGGGGTTTGGGTTATAAAGACAGGACACCAGCAAAACTGGAGGTGTCCCTGTGGCAGGGGGACACACGGGGGACTGAGGTCCTGACTTAGAGCTTTCCCCTACCCTTGCCCGTTCCCCCAGGATCAGCAGGGCGTACCCCCACATCCCCACACGCTGCTTTCTGCCAGGGGAGTTGGCGCTTGCAAAGGGCAGAGGCACAAGGAGAACCTGGGGTGGGCTGCAGGGTCTGGGAGGACAGCGGCTGGCAGTTATGAGCTCTCCTCTGCCAGCTGCTCCCCATGATGACAACAGTTTTAAACCAAACTTGGCCAAGTTTGGTGAAGTTTCAGGCCCTGGGGCTGCTCCTGGAGGCACTCCTGTGTTTCAGTGTCCCAGCTGTGAGAGGTCTGCAAGGATTTCTTTGCAAAAATGGAACTGATTAGCCAAATCTTTCCATAAAGGGAAGAAAACTGAGCTGGGAAACATCAAATGACCCCAGCCTGGTGAAGTCTTGGACAAGTAAAAGAGAGGAGAGAAAATTCTGCTGTGGGCACTGCTCCCCTAGAGAGGCCAGCAACGACAGCGTGACTGCTGCTCTCGCCAGCCAGGCACAGGCACTTTCATTTGAGCTTCTTGTTTCAGCTCCTCATTATATTTCTGTAGCTTCACCTTTGGTCTGAGATCATCCAGGTTAGGGTTTTGGGGTTTTGGTTTTTTTTTTTTTTTTTTTTTTTCCCTCCTCTGGAAACTTGGAACTAAACCATTTCCTCCCTCTGAGAGGGAGGAGGGCAAACAGGCTCTGCTCTCCTCTTGGCTGTAATTGTGGAGCTGTAGAGCTCTGCAGGAGCAGCTGTGGCCGTAGTGTGTTTGCAGCACGAGGGATTTGGGAATCTGAGTAACACTGTTCCCTTTTGGGGGGGGGTGTCTTTGTAATTTCTGCAGGCTATCGCTATGTGATCCTTGACATCCCTCTGCTCTTTGAGACCAACAGATTGACCAAGTTTATGAAATACACGGTGTTGGTTTATTGGTAAGTGCCACGTGAACCATGAGGACCGGGATGCTGCCACCTCTCGTGGAGGCTGGAGGGGACCGTTGTGTCCCTCCCGCTCTGGTGAGGATTTAGCTGCAGCCCTGGTGTGAAGCCTATTGTTAATGCCACCTCTTTTCTCTATGTGTGAGAAGCAAAACCTTCCTTTATCCTAGTGTATAAGGGGCTTCTTACTGGGGTGTCCCCAAAACCTGGCACCCTCATACAGGGGCAATCGCTGTCTTTGGGCTTTCCACGGCCTGTGCTCCGTTGGCTGGGGCAGGGATTGGAGCACTCCCCTGGTGTTACGGGCCACGAGAATGCCCAAAACACCCAGTGGGGTCAACGCTGCAGCAGTGGCTGCTCTGATCCGAGCGCAGGACGCCTGCGCCGTGTCCGAAATGAAGCGGAGAGCATCTCTCCCTCACACTTTACCCCAGATTATTCCCCCTCGTACCGAGGAGGGCAGGCAAACCCCCTCTTCCCTCCCGCGCCCCCAACTCAGTGCCACCCTCCCGCCCCGGCAGTGACCTGCTGACACAGACGTCTCGGCTGATGAAGAGGAACGGGCTGTCCCAGGCGGAGGCAGAAGCTCGCATCGCCTCCCAGCTGCCGCTGGACGAGAAGCGCAAATTAGCGAGTCACGTCATTGACAACTCCGGGGACTGGGGGAGCACGCGCCGGCAGGTCCTGAGGCTGCACGCCCGCCTGGAGAATTCCCTGGATTTCCTCTGGGCACGGCTGGCGGCGGGCACGGTTGTAGTCGGGCTTGGAGGGCTGCTGTACCTCCTCCTCCAGCATTTCATCTCTTAATTCACCTTTTCTTTTTGTCACAGAAGGGGCCTGAATTTCCAGGTTTGAAAAGGGCAGCGAAAGGCCACCTCTTTTAATGAGCTTTGCCAGCTGAATGCAGACAGTGGGATGAAGCATCTCCTTGCAGACTTCCCAAGGTGATTGTAGGGGTTTTTTTTCCGGCACCATCTCCCCTCTCCTTTCTTCCTGCTCAGGTTCTTACCCACCAGCTGTGCCTGTGGGATGGGACTGCTCCCCTTGTGTGGCTGTGGCCCGTGGAGGGGACGAGGCCCCTGTGCCCCTCTGCGTCTGTATGGTGGGACTTTGGTGAATTTAGGCACTTTAATGTCTTGCTGGACAATCTCTTCACTGGGGGAGTAGGTGACCTCTCAAGTCCTATATTGCTAGCAGGTTGATCCCCTCCTAGCTTGCAGCCCTGGCTAATCTGAATTTAGCCATGGGATTTCCCATTCTTTCACGCTGATTTAATGGAAACGTGTTAAATCTGCCTGGCTGGAGACAGGCAGCACCTCATTTCACATGGCTTAGGTGTTCAGCTGGCTGCTCGCCCTCCCTCCTGCCCTCCATTTCTGCAGTCACCACTTGTGGGTCACCCTTGGCTTTGGATCTGAGGGTCTGATCCATCCCCAGAGCAGGCTGAGACCTAGGACCTGCCTCGCTGAAACTCATTTACTGCTGTTTGAGTTTTCCTTTGGCAGCAGTTTCCCTGCGGGAGAGCCCGAGTTGGGGTGAAGCGGGTGCTGGCTCCTCACGTTTGTTTTAATAAAGTGCTAAGCAGCAGCCGGCTCCCCGCGGCTCTGCAACCTGCAGGCTGCGAACGCTGCTCTTTCCTGCCCCGCTCCCAGGTCGTTTCTATGCCGGGGCACGGCTGCGCTCTGTAAAGTTCACCGCACGCAAGCAGAGCTGACGAGTTTGCTCGTGCTTTTTCCCCAGTACACATCTCTCAGCCGGTCCCAGGGAGCTCCTCAGAGCGTCAGCCCCTGCTGTGAGCTTTCCTGGGGGGGGGCGGGGGGGGCCATGGCTTCCTGTGGGCTCCGGGCACCCCACGGGGTGGGTCTGGTTTCCCCGGGGTGTGATCGCTGTGGTTTTCTGTGGTCAGTGCTTTCCCCCTGGGGCAGTCCTGTCCTGCTGCCACCCACCTTGTCCCAGCGTTTTGAGGAAGGTGAGTGTTGCCAGCCCCTGCTCACCTCCCGCTCCCCAGAGTCTTCAGGGTTGCTGGGGCTCCCACTTGCCCTCCCGCTTGTTGGCCGGGCAGGCTGGGCTGCTGCGGAGCGTGGCAGTGTCCTTGCTGTCCCCAACGTCAGCCTTTGGGCGCAGGGACCTTTCCCTGGGTGTCACAGCCCTGCCCAGCCAGCACGTGCCCCTTTTTGCAGCCGGGCACCCTTCCCACCCCCTTTTCTGAGCCCAACCCTGCACCCGGGGTCGCGTCTCTCACCCTCCTGGGGAGACCCGGTGGTCCCTGTGCAGCCACAGGAGAGCATCCCCAAGCTGGGGCGCCCACCCTGGGAACCTCAGCATTTTAAGCAGCGCTGGGGAGGAGCTGTACGTGGATGATAACCCTCCGCCAGTCCCCTCCCCGGCTTTTTAATGCTCCCTTAATTGCGGCGGTGGTGCCGGGAGTCCCTCGCAGCCAGCCATAAATCAGGGCTGGAGCAGGACAGTCTCAGTCCGAGATAAGCTCTGATTGCCTTCCTCCCTCCCGGCTCGCCGCCTCCGCGATAAATGGGGCTGCGATGAGCCCGGGGGAGGGAAGGAGAAAGTGAGACGGGCACCGTAATCGCATTTGGCGCTTCGCTCCTGCCCTGCTGACGTTTGCCAGCCGCTAACGAGCTTAGCAGGGCCGCGGGAATGGGTGGTTTCAGGGGGGACGGCAAGGCGCAGGGCTCCCCACGGGGCGGTTTGGGGGTGCCCTGGGCAGAGCTGGGGGTTGAGCCCCTGGGTGGGCTGCGTGCCTGGGTGGTGGCACCCACCGGGGGGGGGCTCCTGAGCCTGGCGCTGGGCCGCCGAGTCCCTCCCGTGGGTGCTGCGTGGGACCCGGCTGCCCCAGCACCTGCAGACCTGCCCGGGTCGCGCTCTTGGCCACCCCCAGCCAAACCCCCCCCCCCCCCCCCACCGTGGGGACGAGCTGGCAGGACACCCTGCCCACAGCTGTCCCCCCGCCGCTCCGCGGGCTGCTGGGCGGCCTAATCGATGGCCATGGCAAGGAAGGGGGGGGGGACGGACACACACCCTGGCTGAGACCCCTGCGCTCGTGACACGGATGGGCACCCCGCGCGCTGAGGCCACCCCAGCTCGCCGCGCCTCCCGCCATCGATCGGGCGGCGGCTGGAGCAGCCGCTCGCCGCGGCCCATCCGTCTCCTCTCACCGGGGGCTGTTTGAGCAGGGAGCCGGCCCCGCGCAACCCAAATATTTAACTGCTGCAAATTGGCGGCTGGATCAATTACGCTGCGGCTGCCGGGGGCTCGCGACAGGTGGCCGCCAACCCCACTGTCCCCCCCCCCTTTCCCTGGAGCAGCCCTTCCACAGACACCCACCCCCCCCCCCCCCCACAGCACCCCCTTCCCCAGTGCACCCTTTCCTTAGAGCCCCTCTTTCCCGGTGCCCCCCCTTCCCTGGAGCAGCCTTTCTGCAGAGCCCCCCTCTCTGGAGCACCCTGTCCCCAACGTACCCCCCTCGCTGCACCCCTTCCCCACCGCACCCCCTCCCCAGGGTACCCCTCCCCCAATTCACCCCATTCCTGAAGCACCCCCTCCCTGGAGCACCCCTGTCCCGGTGCCCCCCTTCCCCAGAGCACCCCATCCCTGGAGCACCCCCTCCCCAGTACCCATCACGGGGCACCCACTGGGTAGGGGGTGCAGATGTCCCCCCCCTGGGGCTGTAGGACAGGGTGACATCCTCCAGTGGGGACTGGGGGCCCCAATACCCACGAGGGAGGGACCCCCGCGGGGTGAAGGTCAGGGGTCCTGAGTGTGGTGTCACCGCATGGCACTGGTGTCACCGGTGTCACTGTCATTGCAGGGCCCCCGGGGGTGTGGCACGGTGTCACTGTCACTGCACAGCTCCTGGGGTGCCACACAGCGTCACCACGGCTGCACAGTCCCACTCGTGTCACGCAGTGCTGCTGCCGCAGCCCGGCGGTATTGCACAGCGTCACTGTTGCTCCCTGGGGTGTCACACGGTGTCACTGTCACCGCGCAGTGTGCAGGGTGTCACTGTCACTGCGGGGCCGCCGGGTGCCATGCAGTGTCACTGCAGCTCCCGTGGGTTGTCACACGGAGTCACTGTCAGTGCAGGGGGTGTCACACAATGCTATGTCACGGCAGGGCCCTGGGGGTGTCACCCAGTGTCACTGTCACTGCACGGCCTGGGGTGTCACCCAGTATCACTGTCACTGCACGGCCGGGGGTGTCACCCAGTGTCACTGTCACTGCACGGCTGGGGGTGTCACCCAGTGTCACTGTCACTGCACGGCCCGGGGTGTCACCCACCGTCACTGCACAGGGCACTCCCCACTGCCACCCCCTGCACATCCTGTGGGCTGTCGCACCCCATCCCCACCGGCTGTGGGGCACCCTGGGGACAGCACCGCGGGTCCCAGCAGCCCCCGTCCCCCTTGGGGGGACACGTCCCTGAGCCCGTCCCCTCCGCCCACCCGGCCCCGTGGCTGGATCCTGCTGCCAGGCGAGCAGCCGCTTCCCATCGCTCACCAGCCGGCCCCGGCAGCCAGGCTCTAATTAAGTGGCCGTGTTGGCAGCCCTTAATTGCCACGCGGCGGGAGGGTGGCGGGCCCCGCCGTGCCCGTAATGAGCCAGCGTGACGGGGACGGACGGACAGGGATGTGCCACCCCCACCTTTCCCCCCCACCCGCAGCTGGGCTCCCCTCGTTGGGCAAGGGACGGTGCCCGGCGTCGGGCTGGGGCGTGCTGGCACGTCCCCGTCCCCAGGGCCAGGGCTAACCCAGCCAGCCAGCCTGCTGCTGGCCAGCCAGCAAGCCCTCTGGGTCAGCTGGCCCACCACCAGCCAACTGGTCAACTGGCTGATCAGCCAGCTAGCCAACCAGCCAGCCAGGCAATCAACCAGCAACTGGCCAGCTAGTCAACCAAACAGCTGGCCAGCCAACCCACCATCTAGCCAGCCAGCCAACGGCCTAGCCATCTACCAACCAGCCAACCAGTGAGTTGGCCAACCAGCTAGCCTGCTGCCAGCTAACCAACCAGCTACCAACCACCCAGCCAGCCAACTGACCAGCTAGCTAGCCGACCAGCCATCCAGATGGCCTTCAAGCCCACCAGCCAGCTGGCCAACCAGCCAGCCGATGAGGTGACCAGTCATCTCCCTGCCAACCAGCCATCTAGCTGTGCGGCTAGTCGGGCAGTCAGCTGGGCAACTCTCTAGCCAAGTGTGCAGCCAGCCAACTAGCCATCTGGCCACTGGCCATCTTCCAAAAGATCCAGCCAGCCCAGCGGTCAGGCAGGCAACCAGAACCACCGTCTGCCCACGTCCTGCCGGGCGCTGGGACCTGCCTCGCCTTCACCCCGGTCCTGCAGCCCTGTCCCCGGGTGTCCCTCATCTCCCGGGCTGTGCGTTGAGTGGGGACACCTCTGTGTGTCTGTGCCCGCGCCAGTCACCTCCCTGCCGCCCCGCTGAGCCCTGACACACTCATCACAGCAAGCGGGGCACTGGACACCTCCCAGCCCAGCGCTGGCCAGAGGCCCCCCCAGCCCTGGGGGTTTGGGCCCCTTTTCTCCCCAGCCTGGCGCCAGGAGGTGAGTGTTGGCTCCTGCCAGGACCATCCCCACCTCGGGCTGGGGCCAGGGAACCTTCCCTTGCTCCCGTGTCGATCTGTGCTGGCACTGCCTCTCCCCGGGCATCCACACCCCAGAAAACTCATTAATTCCTCCTTTTAATAATCCCCGTGTCCTGACGAGGCGGCCATGGCATCCTTTCTCAGGGACAGAGGTGACACGGGTCTGGAGGTTGCATGGCTGGGGTGGCTGGTGTCCTCCCTTGAGACCAGGGGACAGCCTGCATCGGAGGTCCCAGGCTGGTCCTCCTCGGGGTGGCTGCTGGATGCATGAGGGGGTGGCAGGGTGCATGGACGGACGTGTGGATGGAGGCAGGGACGGGAGGGTGCATGAGCAGGTGCGTGGATGGATGCAGGGACACAGGATTGATAGGCGGATGAATGTGTGGACAAATGGCTTCATGGACACACGTGTGGATGAGTTTGTGAGAGGATGGATGTGTGGGTGCAAGGAGAGGTGGATGGACGGACGGACGGACGGACGGACGGATGGGTGGATGGATGGATGGATGGATGGATGGATGGATGGATGGATGGATGGATGGATGGATGGATGGATGGATGGATGGATGGAGGGTTGGATGGATGGGTGGAGGGTTGGATGGATGGATGGACGGACGGATGGATGGATGGATGGATGGATGGATGGATGGATGGATGGATGGATGGATGGAGGGATGGATGGATGGATGGATGGAGGGATGGATGGACGGATGGACAGATGGACGGACGGACGGACGGACGGACGGATGGATGGATGGATGGATGGATGGATGGATGGATGGATGGATGGATGGATGGATGGAGGGAGGGATGGATGGACGGATGGACAGATGGACGGACGGACGGACGGACGGATGGGTGGATGGAGGGATGGATGGATGGATGGATGGATGGATGGAGGGATGGATGGATGGTTGGAAGGATGGAGGGAGGGAGGGATGGGTGGGCAGATGCCACCGTGGCCGTGGGAACCTCCAGAGGAAGCCCCAGGTGGGAGCTCAGGAGGCCCCTCCCAGCTCTGCCCCAGCCCTGCAGCCCAGGCTCCCATCGCCCCAGGGTGTCCTCCCACCCCAGGTGGGGGCCGAGGGCGCAGCCCTACCCCCACCTGAGTGTCCCCCTCCCACAGCCCCTCCCGGGCCCCCTCCTGGGGACACAGAGTGATTTTGGGGGACAGCACCCAAAATCACGGGGGACAGCTTGTGAACACCCGCTCCCTCCCCAGGCTCGTCAGCGTGGGCTGACATTGGGCTCGTTAGTTATTCCTGGCTCCGAGTCCTAATTACTGCCAAGCCCTCGTTGCCACCCGCCCGCTCTAACCCACGGCTGCGGGGCTGGGCAGTAGGTGCCAAGATGCCACGCGGGCGCAGTGTCCCCAAGCCACCACGTCACCCCAGCCATGGGTGGTCCTATAGGCAGCGTCCCTGGCGTAGCTGCAGCAGTGACCGCCCCCCCCCCCCCCGCCACAGTGCCAGGAGGGGAAACTGAGGCACAGGGCAGCGCCCAGCCCCTCGAAAGCCCTTGTTCCAACCTAGCCGCCCTCACCCTTCCCCAAATCCTCCCTAGTGACCTCCCCAGCGAGCAGCGGCGGTGCAGCCACCCCCCAGGCTGAGCCTGCACCCCAGAGCATCGATCGGGGGCCCCCCCCTGCCCCCGGCCCCGGCGTCCCCTTGGTGTCACCCACCCGCCTCCCCGCGTCATGCTGCCAGAGCAAACAGCCGTGGGCTCGGCCGTGCATCGATTCTGCGGGAGCTGCTGTTTGCTTAACCTTTGCAGAGGAGCGGCAGCGGCTGGCGTCGAGCGGAGCCGCCGCCGCAGCCACTGCAGCCGCCGCTGCAGCTGCCACCGCTGCTGTCACCTCCCAGCTTTGTTCCTTTTCCCCATCCTGTGCCCTCAAGCGTGGCCCTTCGGAGGTTTGCCATCCTGTTGTCCATCCCCAGGTGGATGGAGCCAGTTTGGGGGGGGCTGCGCTGCACCCCCTTCCCGTGCAGGGGTTGGGGACAGGGACAGGGAACCCCTTGGGGCCTCCAGCCAGGGTCACCCGGGGTGTTGTCCCCATCCGTGAGGTGCTGCTTCCCCAGGGCGGTGGTGAAGCCACCCTGGCTCTGCAACCAGGCTGCGGGGACACGGCCTGGGGACGTGGTGGTCTGGGGTGGTGGCCATGTCATGGGGACACTGTGGGCTGCGGTAGTGAGGTGGCCCAGGGCTGGGACACGATGGCTTGGTGGGGTGAGGTGGCCCAGAGCGGTGGCCATGCCATGCAGGGGACGTGACCCAGGCCGGTGAGGTGACCTGGCGTGGTGGCCGTGCTGTCGGGACATGGTGGCTTGGGTGGTGAGATGCCCTGGCGTGGTGGCCCCGTCACGGGGACACAGTGGCCCGTGGCAGTGGGGTGACCTGGGGCAGGGACACAGTGCCCCAGGGTGGTGGCCGTGCCATGGGGCACAATGGCCTGTGGCAATGGGGTGACCCGGGGCTGTGGCCCCACCACGAGGGCACAGTGGCCAGGACAAGGGATGTCCCCTGACCCCCCAGGTGACACGGGGGGCCCTGACGCAGCCAGCGAGTGCCTGTGTCCCCTGTGTCCCCGCCACGGCCACCCCGTCCCCACGCAGAGCCCCCTGCCCACCCGGGCCACCGCAGCACGGTGCTGGCGGGTGACTCACGCAGCCCGTGACCTCGGCGAGGCGTATTTTTAGGCGCTTGTTAAAAAAAAAAGATAACGAGGATTCCGGGGGGGGGGGGGGGGGACAACAACGACACACACACACAGACACACAGACACGATAACAATGGAGAAAAGAACCAGGGGAGGAGCCCGTGACATGACGGTGACAGCCTGGGGGGGGGACACAGAGCTGGCAGCACCCCCACCCCAAAATACTCTGTGCCCCCCCCCCCCAACCCTCATTAAGCCCCCAGGAATAATTGCCTCCTTAAAGCCAGCTAATTGATTTTTGCACGCTGATTAAATTAAAGCCTCTGCAGGAGCTGGGGGGGGGACACGCGGGGGCGATCGATGGGCTGCCAAGTGTCCCCTCGGTCCCCCCCTCCTTTGGGCTGGGGGTCTGGGCTCCGTCACCCCTGTGTCCCCTGGGGTGTGGGGACACTGCACGGGCGTGGCGCTGGAAGGGGACGTTCCCCCAGGGTGGAGTATTTTTGGGGGTGGGGACAATGACCCCGTGGACCCCAGAGGTGCCGCGGGGGGTTGATGCCACCTCGGCATCGTCACCCGGGGCCACCAAACCGCTGTGGCGGGTGGCCCGGGGAGCAGCTCCCCATGTGTGTCCCCCACCCCCGTCCCCTCTGTGTCCCCCCCCCCCCGTCCCTGTGTCCTTCGCTCACCCCCGGCACTGGTGGCGGCTGTCACTTGCCATCGCGTCCCGCCGTCCCCGCCGCGGCTGATGGAGGTGGCAGGCGACGGAGCGGGCACAGCTGTGTGTCCCTGTGTCACGAGCCCGCCGGTGCTCAGCCCCGCGGGGACGGCTCTTTCACGTGGCCGTTCACCCCTTAGTGTGGCCTGGCCGTCCCCGTGGGGGCACCCGTGGGTGCCCTGTTGCCATCCCGTCCCGCGACCCCACAGTTGGACTCCCCCCAGGGGTGCTCCTGGGTGGTGGGTGCTTGGCACGGGTGTCACCTGGGCTGTCCCAAAGTGTGGGTCCCCTCAGAGCCGGGCCCCCGTGGGAGGGGAAACTGAGGCAGGGAGGCCCTGGGCGTGCTCTGGGGACCGTCCCCCGTGGGTTTGCTCCCGTGGGGACACAGGTCCCAGAGCTCCCGGGCACAGAGGTGACGGAGCGGCAGACCCCGTGGGGACGTGGCCGCCGGGTGCTCGGGGACGGAGGTGGCATCGCCTGGGCCCCGTGGGGACGGGGCGTGGCTCGGGGTGAACACGCGGGGACGGTCCACGCGGCGACGGGCCCACAGAGGGGGGTGCCCACCGGTGTGTGTGTGGGAGGGGGGGGCCTGGGGAGGTGCAGGGGCCGGCGGGACCGGGGTCCCACGGAGAAACCGGCGGTCACGGGTGGGGCGGGCACGAGCGGCACCGTGGGGAGGGGCTGCGGGGGTGGGCGTGGCATAGGCGGGGGGGGTGTGGCGTAGGGGGCGTGTCTCCCCGCCCGCGGGTGCGTGGGCGTGTCCGTGGGGCGGGGAGGAGGGCGTGGCACGGTGCGGGGTGGGCGTGTCCGGGGCGGGGAGTGGGCGGGGCCTGGGCGGGCGCGGGGCGCACCGGAGCCAGCGGAGCGCAGCGGAGCGGCCACCGCCGCCGCCACCCCCGAGCCCCCCCCCGCCGCCGCCGCCCTGCTCCCCCCCGCCGGCACCATTCCCACCCCCGGGCGACAACGCGCCCCGGCCGGGCGGCGGCTCAGCCTGGGCCGGAAAACTTTGCTGGCGGCCGCGGCGGGGGTGGTGATGGTGCTGGTGCTGGTGGTGCTCATCCCGGTGCTGGTGAGCTCCGCCGGTACCGACGGCCGGTACGAGATGCTGGGGACCTGCCGTATGGTCTGCGAGCCCTATGGCCCCGCCGCCGCCGCCCCCCCTCCGCAACCGGCCGAACGCGGCCCCCTCCCGCCGCCCTCCACCCTGGTGCAAGGTCCCCAAGGCAAACCGGGGCGACCAGGGAAACCGGGACCCCCGGGACCCCCGGGAGAGCCGGGACCCCCGGGACCGGCGGGGGCGCGGGGTGAAGTGGGACGACCGGGACCCCCGGGATTACCGGGACCGGGGGCTACGGGTGCGGTGAGCGCGGCTACCTACAGCACGGTGCCGCGCGTCGCCTTCTACGCTGGCCTCAAGAACCCCCACGAGGGCTACGAGGTCCTCAAGTTCGACGACGTGGTCACCAACCTGGGCAACAGCTACGACGCCGCCTCGGGCAAGTTCACCTGCGCCATCCCCGGCACCTACTTCTTCACCTACCACGTCCTCATGCGCGGCGGCGACGGCACCAGCATGTGGGCCGACCTCTGCAAGAACGGTCAGGTAAGGGCTGGCCGTCCCGGCTACCAGCCCCACCGCGGGGATGGGAGCTGCTGCTGCCCCCCAAGCACCAGAGAAGGGCGCTGGGTGCTTCCACAGGGCGCTGCGTCCTTTTCCCAGCCCCAGGGATTCACCCCCCGGGGTGCTCCATCCTTCTCCTGGCCCCAGAGGTGAACCCTCAGGGTGCCACATCCTTCTCCCGGTGCTGATGACGGGCTCTGGGGGCTTCCCTGGGGAGCTCCGTCCTTTTCCCAGCCCCAGGGATGAATCCCCAGGGTGCCACATCCTTCTCCCCGGCCGCAGAGATGTACCCCTGGGGTGCCCTGTCCTTCTCCTTGCCCCAAGGATGCACCCCTGGGGTGCTCCATCCCTCTCCCTGGGGCAACGATGGGGCTCTGGGTGCCCGTGCGGGGTGCCCCATCCTTTTCGCAGCCCTGGGGATGTACCCCCAGGATGCTTTGTCCCTCTCTTGGTGACAATGATGAGCTCTGGGTGCACCCTCAGGGTGCCGCATCCTTCTCCTGGACATGGATCTGCACCCCCGGGGTGCCCTGTCCTTGTCCCAGTGACGTGATGGGCTCCGGGTGCATCCCTGGGGTGTCCTGTCCCGCTCCCAGCTCCGGAGACGCATCCCTGGCGTGCCACATCCTTCTCCCAGCCCTGGAGATGCGCCTCCAAGACGCTCCATCCTTCTAGTAGTGAAGATGGGCTCTGGGGGTGTCCCCGGGGTGCCCCGTCCTGCTCCCAGCCCCGAAGATGCACACCCAGGGTGCCCCATCCCTCTCCTAGTGCTGGGACACACGCTGCCACCATAGCCGTGCTGCCCTGCTGTGTCCCCAAGGGTCCCCTCAGTCCTTTCCTTGGCCCCGGAGACATGCCCTGCCACACTTCTGGGGTGCTTTGGGGTGTCCCTGCAGTGTCCCCAGTGTGTCCTGCCCTCCCCGGCTGTGCTATCATCCCCACTGGGTCTCCCTGGGGGGACAGGGCTCTTCTGCAGGGGACAGTGCTGGGGGGGGGTGCAGCACCTGCCCTGCTTTTGGGGTGCTGCACCCCCAGCCCAGGGCCAGCTCTGCTGCCCCTGTGTCGGGAGAGACGTCCGCACCCCTGGCCAGGCTGTGTGGGGACACCATGGGGAGGACGCCCCGAGGCTGCCTCCGTCCCTGTCCCCCACCCCACTCCAGTTCCCCCCAGACCCTGAAAAACCATCTGAAAATCCTCCCAATCCTGAGATGCAGCTTCTCCATCCCCACTGGTTTTGGGTGACGCCCAAAGTGCTGCCCCTTTCCAGTGTCCCTCCTGGCCGTGATCTGAGCCTGAGATGTGGTTGTGACCCCCAAAATGTCACCTGAGCTCAAGTCCTTTGGGTGTCACCGCACCCAGCATCCTCGCTGGGATTTATCCCGCCCTGCTTCCACTTCCCATCATTTTTTCCCAGCATCGAGCCCCGCAGTGCATCCCCATCCTGAGGATGTACGACACCTAATTAACCCCAAACTGAGTTAAAACCCCCCCAAAATAGTGAGGGATGGGGGGGAAGTGGGAGCCCTGGCACAGCCACTGCGCTTTGCCCCTTGGCTCTGAAAACCTCCAAGCCGGGTGCGCAGCAGAGGCAGGAGCCGCTTGGAATTTTTTTCTCCATTCAAACAGTTTAAATTTTCTTTTATTGTTTTTTTCTTTTTGCCTCCCCTGACTCCAGTCCCAAATTTTGGGGGGTCCTGGTGACCCTCGGCACTGCTGGCTCTTTCTCACAAGCAGCATCCATGTAACTCCAGACTGAGCATCCCCCCCAAATCACCTCACCCCCTTTTTCCTCCCCAAAAATATTTTTGGGGACCCCCACCAAACCTTCCCACCTCCTCCTGCCCCCCACTGAGCTCTGACCCCCCCAGACTGGTGGGGGATCGATGCACCCGGGCGCTACTGGCTGAATTTCCAGAAGCTACGGAGCCCCTCGTCGAGAGGAACCACGCTTGGTCGGGCGCGCGATGCAGCTTAATTAACCGGTTGTTAATTACTAACGAGGTATCGCCGCTCCAATATTTATAAAGAAGCGGCTCGGGAGGCAGGGGAGCGTTTCAGTGGGCTGGCTCTGGCGGGAGAGTTTAAAAAAAGTACCCCCAAAATGCCCCAAATAATTAAAAAAATTGGGTTAATTAGGGTTTTGTTGCCAAAAATGCCCCATCCCTGTCAAGGCTGGGGGGGCCCAGGGGAGCCGGGGGTTTTCCTGGCGGATAAGCGTCGATCCCGGCATTCTCTGAGGGAGTTCTAACTTGGGGGACCCCTTGTGACCCCCCCACTTCCCTCTGAGCGCTGCCGGTTTTGGGCACAGTCCATCACCCCTGCGTTGGGGCTGGAGTTAATGAGAGCCAGGGGAGCCCCGGCGCGGGGAGGGAGCTGCTCCTGGTGGTTAATTAGCATTAATTATTCTTATTTGTAATAGCCCATAGACAGGCGAGCAGGGCAGCGGGAAGGGGGGAGGTGCTGGATGGTCGGATGGGTGGGGGGGTTGGAGCGGGGTGGTTTTGGGGTCCCCATGGTGGGGGTGACCGTGGTGGGTGAGCTGAAGGCCTGGGGAGGGGCACAGCCCCCCGAGGCGGGGGGGGGGGCTGGGGACAATCCCCGAGGGACCCTGTCTGTGGGGACACGGGGACCTGCCAGGAGTTCCTGGGGGGCACCCACTGTCCTGGCTGGGGGGCTGGGGGGGGCACCTGCTTCTGCACTCAAGGGTCCTGGGGGGCACCCACCACCATGCCCAGAGTGGGGTCGTGTCTGGGGGTGCTGGGGGGGCACCCGCTGCCATGCCCAGGGGAGTCTGAGGTGAGGCACCCACCACTGCACTTGGGGGTCCTGGGGGGCACCCGCTGCCACACACTGGGGGTCGTGGTGGCCGTGGCATGTGGGGCACAGGGTGTCCCTGAGGCACCGAGTGTCACCGTGAGCAGCTCAGCCAAGGGAGCACCCCGCTGCCCCCCACCCTTCCGCCCACCCTTGGGTGCAGCCAGCCACGTCGGGGACCTTCCCACAGTGTCCCCGGGGCTGGTGACACCCCCCGGGCAGCGTCACTGGGGTCATGCGGCAGCAGCTGCAGCAGAGCCAGCCGTTGGGGCGGGGGGCCGTGTCCCTCCCATGGTTCCCACCCCCGGGGGGCTGTGCCTGGCATGGGGAAACTGAGGCACAGAGCAGGATGAGCCTGTTGGAGGAGGGGGGATGAGGTGGCAGCCCCCACCTCCTCTGCTGCCGCGGTGCCAGGAGTGGCTCAGCCCGGCCCAGCGCTGCCATTTATCTTCCCTGGTTAGCGCGAAGGGGCTGCCGGGCACGTGGTGACGAGGCGGCTCCTTAACGAGGGAAGACGGATGGCACCGGGAGGCTCTGGCTGCGGCGGGGGATGATGGCAGCAGAGCCCAGCGCCAAACAGCTTTTCCTCGTTCTCCTTTCCCCCTGCTTCTTCCCCTCTCCTCTTCCTCAGCACGACTCCCAGTGAGGCAGCATCCCCTGGAGATTGGGGCGCTGTGACCACCTGAGATTCACCGTGCGTCCCCTTCCCCGGGATAGGGACCCTCGTGGTGGTGTGGTAGACACAGGGTGACTTTTAACAGGGTGATAGTGGTGGTGGTGGCACGGGGGATATGGCTGCGTGGGTGAGAGCAAGCCCTATGGGACCACCTGCTGGGCCATCAGTAGGTTTCGGAGTTAACAGTGTCTGACCACACCATCACAGGCTGCCCGTGAGCTTGGGGAGACAAGGAGGAGAGGACCTGATCCTGGTCCTGGTGGCAAAGGACAGGAATCCATGGGGACAGCCCTCCTTCCCCTGTTGGCTCTGGGACCCCACAGCCGCTCAGCAGTGCCTCTCTGCCCGGCGTGAGCCAATTAAGAGCCCATTCTCATCAGTTGTAATTAGGAGCATCTTCTCCTCGGCGCATCGTTTTTGCATTTCACTTGGGATTTTACCTGCCGGCTTGTCACTGTCACCCAGCGCCGCACGATCTCCCTGCAAGGCGCCGGCGTGGATTTGATTACCCAAATAATTCTGCAGTGGCAGCAGGCTCCAGCCACGGAGCTTCTTTACCAGGCGGTTACGGCACCTCCGGCTCTGCCGGCACCTCCCAGCCTTGTCCTCTGGCACCGAGGAAATATTCCTCCGGGGGAGCATCCTACCCCCCAGCAGGTTGGGATCCGGGTGAGCAGCAAGGCTTGTTTTGGGGGGTTTTGAGCTCAGCTGGCTCAGCCCTTGCCACACACTCACGGTCCTCGTGGGAAGTTGTGCCAGGATCATCAAGTTGGTTGGGGGCTGGGCTGGGAGATGGGTTCCTGTGTCCGAGCCCTAGTCCCATATCTGAGCCATGGCCCTGCATCCGACTCTGGAGTCGGGGTCTCGGGTCTGAGCCGTGGCCCCACATCTGTACCAAGTCAGGGTCCAGTGTCTGAGCTGTTCCATATCCAAACCCAGAGGTGGGGTCCCATGTCTGACCTGTGGTCCTGCATCCAAACCCAGAGTCAGGGTCCCATGTCTGAACCGTCATCGTGCATCTGAACCCAGAGGTGGGGTCCTGTGTCTGAGCTACGGTCCTGCACCCAGACCTGGAGCCGTGGTCCCATGTCCGTGCCATGGTCCCTCATCCAAACCCAGAGCTGTGGTCCTGTGTCTGAGCCGTGGCCCCACATCTGAACCTGAATGTGTGGTCCCACGCCTGAACCCAGAGCCATGGTCCCACGCCTGAACCCAGAGCCGTGGTCCCACATCTGAGCCCGCTGGGTCAGGGAGAGGCTCTGGGCGATGCTCAGAGAAGCCACCTCCATCCGGGACCCATTCACCCAGGGGTGGGGATCCAGGGCACCCCACGCTACCCCAGAGCTGGCGAGCGGTCTCCCTGGCTGTGGATGACCCCGGGTTGTCCCGTGGGACCCGAGGGCTGAGCTGTCCCCGGAGCCGGGTAACGCGGGTGTCCCCTGCGCAGGTGCGGGCCAGCGCCATCGCGCAGGACGCCGACCAGAACTACGACTACGCCAGCAACAGCGTCATCCTGCACCTGGACGCGGGGGACGAGGTCTTCATCAAGCTGGATGGGGGCAAAGCCCATGGCGGCAACAACAACAAGTACAGCACCTTCTCTGGCTTCATCATCTACTCGGACTGAGTCTGGACCCACAGCATCGCCCCACGGCCCTCCAGCCCCACGGCATCCCCCTGCTGCCATCCAGCCCCACGGCATCCTCTGATGGCATCCCCCAATGACCGTCCAGCCCCATGGCATCCCTCTGCCATGGTTCGGCCCCACAGCATCCCCTCGCAGCCGTCCAGCCCCACAGCATCCCCCCACTGCTGTCCAGCCCTATAGCCTCCCCTTGCTACTCTCCAGCCCCACAGCATCCCACTGCCATGGTCCAGCCCCACAGCATCCCCTCACAGTGATCCAGGCCACCTACGGTGCCCCAAACCCCCCCTTTTCCCATTAGCTCACCCCACAACTGCTAATTGAGGGCTGGGGGGGCCACAGGAGGCTGGGGGCCAGCAAGAGGCTGAGGGATCCCCCTGTGCTGCCCCACTGCACCCCCATCCCCTGGCTGCGCACCCCGCTTGGTCCCGTGGCACCCTGCTCCCTGCTGCCTCCCCACACCCGGGGTGATGCTGGGGGCCGGGGGGTCCCCGCCAGCATGTATATATGTACAGGACGCGCAGATGTCTATATGGGTGCCCCCCTCCCGTCCGGCCCTGTGCTGGGGGGCTGCGCTGGGGTGGGGGGGGAGACACCTTGCTGCCCGACCCCGGGGCGACTCCATGGTAAAGCAGAGCTGTGACCTCTTCCCGTGTGCTGTCTGTGTCCCCGCGTGGGGCAGAGCCAATGTCCCCCACTCCAGGGACAGGGTCGTCCTGCCACCCCCCTGCTAACTGACCCCGCTTTGGCTTCCCGAATCGGCCCGGCCAGGGGTGCCAGGCGGGGCTCCCCTCACCCCAAGCGTAGGTGTCTCCTCTGCCACCTCCAGCGGGGGCACTGGGGGTGCCACCGTGGCCGTGTCCCTGTCCCCACAGCCCAGGTGGTCCCATGGCGGGGGTGTCCCCTCGGGGACGTGGCATCCCCACTGCGAGGGGGGGGTGGACATCATCAGGCCAGACGGAGCCCTGGGGACCCTCCGGCACACGCACCCGTCACCGCTGCCTCGGCGCAGGCAGGACGTGTCCCAATTAGAGGTGACAGCGGGTGCCTCCGGCCGCCTCCCGAGCGGCTGCGGTGGGGTCAGGGGACAGGAGCCGCTGGGGACACGTGTGGGGGTGGGTGTATGTCCCCTGGCAGGTCCCTGGTTTCTCGTTTCTCAGCACTAATTAGCAGGGACGAGGCGGTGGCTGGGCAGCGGGGCTCGTGAGGGCCGGGGCTGCCAGCTCTGAGGCCAGGGGCGGCTGCAGCCGCCACCCTGGCTGGCACCGGGGGGGACCCCAGGTACCCCATCGCCCCCCGGCCCTTGGCCGAGCTCTCCCCGCCAGGCAGCGCCCGGGCCGCCGGTTCTCCCCGCCTCAGGGGGCCGCCCCGGCCCGCCGGGCTCGGCAGGGATGGGGATGGGGCGGGTGGGGGGGAAAGATGGCGGCCAGCCCGGGGCCGGCGGGACTACAACTCCCATGGGGCATCGCGAGCGGCGGGTGGGGCGCGCGGCGCGAGGGGCCAATGGGAGGGCGAGGCGTGGAGAGCGGCCAATCAGAAGCGAGGGCGGGGCCCGTGTTGCCGTTTGAAAGCGGAGCGGCGGGTGAGGGGGCGTTGGGCCTGTTGGGGTCAGGAGCGGGGGGAAGGTGTCGGGTACGGGGGGGCGGCGGCGGCAAGCAGGGCAGGGGGAGCGGGATAGTGCCCGGGAGGCGGCAGTGTGGCGGTGTGGGGGCGTTAGGAAGGGCCCTGGGTGGGGGGGAATAGGAGCCTGAGGGGATGTTATGCCGGGAGGGGCAGCAGGGGCCTGAAGGAGATGGGGTGGGGCTGTGGGGGCCTAGAGGGGGTGGGCAGGGCTGTGGGAGGAGGCTGTAGGGACGTGGAGGGGGGGTCTGTGAGAGAGGCTGGAGGGGGCTGTGGGTGTAGGGCTGTGGGGGGGGTTACACGGGCAGCTCCAGGGGCACCGGCAGGGATTAAGACAGGGAGGGTGTGAGGCCTTGCCCAGCTGTGGGGCTCCTCCACCGTTTCCCCCCCCCCCCGGCCCGGCTGACCCCTTACCTCCCCCTCCCAGAATGTGTGAGGCCTCCTGGACGTTGGTGCCCAGAGCCGTGTCCTCCAGCCAGCAAGTGACTCCGTCTCAGCACCCTCCCGGCCCCATGGCGCTGGGCACCCCGCCCGAGGAGGGCAGCGTGGCTGTTATGGTCCGTGTGCGGCCCCCCGCCCCCTGCGAGCGCGAGCGGGCCACGCACCCCATCCTGCACGTCCTCGACCAGCACGTCATTGTCTTCAACCCCGAAGAGCCCAGCGGCTCCCGCAGCAGCGTGCTGCCCGCCCGCGGGCCCAAGCACCAGGGCAAGGACCTCAAGTTTGTCTTTGACCGGGTTTTTGGGCAGGAGGCCACGCAGGAGGAGGTGTTTCGGCACACTACCTGTGAGATGTTGGACAGTGTCCTCAATGGCTACAACTGCTCCGGTAAGACCCGGCAAGCACCTTTGATCCTTGCAGGAGCTCCTGCCCCATCTGATCCTGGGTTGGGTGGGCTCAGTGGAGCTGTGGATTTATTTTGGAAGTCCCTAAGCAGCTGGGGAGGTGAAGGGATGCAACACAGCAACACAGAAGCAAACAGCCTTAAAGTTGTTGGTGGCACCAGGCTGGGATGATTGTAAGTGTGATCAGGACGGGGATGATCCTGACATGGAAATGTCTAATCTCAAGAGTTAAATGAGGGGAAGCAAAACATGAAGTGCTCTTATAGAGTCACAGAATAGTCTGGGTTGAAAGGGACCTTGAAAGATTGTCCAAACCAACCCCCTGCCATGGGCAGGGACATCTCTTACTAAATCAAGTTGCTCAAAGCCCTGTCCAGCCTGGCCTTGAACACTGTCAGGGAAGGGGCATCTACCACCTCTGAGCAACCTGTTCCAGTGCCTCACCACTCTTATAGTAAAACATTTCTTGCTTATATACAATCTAAACCTGCCCTCTTTCAGTTTAAAACCGCTGCCCCTTGTGCTGTCACTACAGGCCCTGGTAAAAAGTCCTTCTCTGTCTTTCTTAGAAGTCCCCTTTATCTACATTGAAAGGCCTTGGTAAGTTTTCCCTAGGGCCTCTCCAGGCTGAACAACCCCAACTCTCAGCCTCTCTCCACAGCAGAGCTGTTGCAGCCCTCAGACCATTTCTGTGGCCTCCTCAGAGGTCTGTGGACAGACAGGTCCATGTCTTGTGCTGGGGACCCCAGAGCTGGACGCAGTGCTCCAGGGGGAGAGGGTTTGTGGAGCAGGCAGGGAGAGACGTGGCCAGGTTGGAAAAGCAGGCAAGCAAGAACTGTGTGAAGATTAACACAGACAAGTGTAAAGTTTTGCACTTGGGATGGGATAACCCAGGAGCCCAGTGCAGACTGGGATCTGGGTGGCTAGGGAGCAGCATCACTGGAGGGACCTGGGTGTCCTGGTGGACAAGGACCTGAATGGGAGTCAGCAGTGCACCACGGCAGCAGCGAAGGCAAGTTGGATCTGGGGCTGCATCCATGGGGGTATTTGTAGCTTGGGCAGAGATGGGATCATCCCCACCAGTGCTGTGTCCAGCTCTGGTCCCTACAAGTCAGGAATGACGTGGACAGAGTGGAGGGTTTCCAAAGGAGGGCCACGGAGGTGATCCAAGGGCTGGAGAACCTGCCCTAGGACAAAAGACTGGAGGAGTGGGGTCTCTTCTTCCTGGAGAAGACTCAGAGGGAACCTCAGCAGTTTTTGAGTACCTAAAGGGCAACTTCAGAGAGGATGGAGGTGCTCTGGTCATGAGGAGAAGACAAGGGGCAAGAGGTACATGTTGCACCAGGAGAGGTTCCATGTCAATATAAGAAAGACATTTTTTACAGTGAGAAAACTCACTGGAACAGCCTCCCCAGGGATGTAGTAGCATGCTCATGGATGAAGGTGTTCAAGATGCCACTGGACAGGGTGTGAGATGATCTCATCCGGGCTCCCTTTCCCATGAGAGCTGAGACCAGATGATCGCTCCAGGTCCCTCGCAGCCTGGGCTGCTCTGTGGCCCTGTGATACTGAGGAGTGCAATGGCGCTTGGCCCTCTCGGAGATGTGACATAGAAGGTGGAGGTGGGTGTTGGGGTAGAAAGTGAGGCTGGGCAGGCGCTTTCCAGGTGTCTCAAGGGACAAGGATCACTTGCTCTCCACTTTCCTGGGGTGAGAAGGATGGGAAGAAATGAAGTGGATCCATGGTGCAAAGAGCACCTTTGTTTTGCCATCCCTTCCCAGACTGAATCGCTGTGATGGGCACAGCTTTGGGAGGATGCTGAGGTTTCGGAGTGGGATCTGGGGTGAAGCAGATGCATTTTGGGGTGCTTCGGGGGTTGCCATGCCACTTGCAAGCATCTCCCAGGCTGGCAGCTCTCTAAAGCTGGGTCTGAAAGCTCCTCGCCTGCCGCCACAGACCCCCATGCCGTTCACAGGCTGTCAGCAGACGAGCGGCTTAACGAGCACATCACTTCTGTGAAGCAGACACTGAGCGGGAGACGGCCGCTCTCCTGTCTAATCATGTGCCGGGCCGGGCACTGGGACCAGAGGATGCTATTCCTGGCTCTCCAGCATGCTCTGCGAGCTGCTGAAGGCTGCCTCTGTCACCGTGCCCACCTGGCAGGCACGTCTCGTGTCTCTATCTGCATAAAATAACTCCAGGATCCTCAAATGAGAGAGTTGCGAAGCACCGAGCACTGCTAATGGGGAGAAGGGCTGAGGCTCTCTGGATTAGAGTGTCCTGCTCTGCTGGTGATGCTTCAAAGAGAGTGTTGAAAGATGGAGGGGACAGAAATTAGATGAATTTCAAGGTCTGGAAGAACACCCTCTGATGAGAGGTGGGGGAATGGGGCTGCTCAGCTTTTTAAAGGGAAGGTTCAGGGGTGACTTGAGCATCTAAGCACATGATGGTTTGGGGACTTTTTCTGTCCCTGCTAAATTAGAGAGGCTGAAACAAGGGGGGGAAAAAAAAACAAAACAAAAAAAAAACAAACAAACAAACAAAAAAAAAACTGCACTGAAGGGTAGCATGGCGAGCACGGAGGGTAATTAGCTTTGCCTTGTCTCTGCAAAGCCTGTAAGCAGCCCCCACCGCGGGGGTTGCTGCGGGAAGCTCTCCTGTCCAGCAAGGAGTGGACGTTATGCTGCTCACGTTAATTAATGATCGTTTCAACCATCCACCCTTTCTCCTCCCAGTGTTCGCCTACGGCGCGACAGGAGCAGGAAAAACCTACACCATGCTGGGCTCGGAAAAAAGCCCTGGCATCATGTACCTCACTATGGTGGAGCTGTACAAGAGGATCGAGGCCAGGAAGGAGAAGAGCTGTGAAGTGCTTGTCTCCTACCAGGAGGTACGCTGCGTCCGAGCCGTGTCCCCTCCTGCCTCTGGGTCACCGTTGCTGAGATTTGGGGTCGATCTGGACTCTGTAGTACCACGCTCGGGGTACCCCCTGCACGGCCAGCTGTGATCCATGGCTCCAGGGCAGCCTTAGAGCCTGGCTGGAGCAGGCTCACCCACCCAGTTTAGTGAACTGGTGCTGCTGGTTTCTCCCATCTGGAGTTGGGGAATTTTCTCTTCTTTGCTGTGGCCCACAGAGCCGGCTGAAAGAGCTTTAGAGAAGCGGCGGCACAGTGACTGGCCAGCAAAGCCCTCCCGAGCTGTCCTCTGCATTTAGAGCACTGTCAGCTGCTCTCAGTGTAACGAGGTCCCAGAGGTGGTGTTGAGGGAGATGCTGGGTTGTGTGTGACCCTGGGGTCCAAAGCCGCTCTCCCTGCTCGCCGCCAGGCAACCAAACCTCAGCCTTCCATTGCATTGCCCACTCCAGGTGTACAACGAACAGATTTATGACCTGCTGGAGCCCAAGGGCCCTCTGGCCATCCGGGAGGATCCTGAGAAAGGAGTTGTGGTTCAGGGTCTCTCCTGCCACCAGGTGGGTATAAAAATGGGCACAAGGTCTGGGCAATGCTGCACCTAGGCCAGCATTGTCCTGGGGACACGGGGGCTGTGAAGACATGGGGGTGCCATCTGCACGGCTCCTGGCTGGCAGCAAATGTGACCTTGAGCTGAAAGGATCCACAGGATGCCTCAGCCTAAGCCGCTGTGGCTGCTCGGGGTCAGGTTGTCTCGCTGCTTGCATACGGGGTGTGCTGATGCCTGCCCTTTGCCTGTTCTCTCCCAGCCCGTGTCGGCAGAGCAGCTGCTGGAGATGTTGGCCAACGGCAACAAGAACCGGACGCAGCATCCCACCGATGCCAACACCACCTCCTCCCGCTCGCATGCCATCTTCCAGGTGAGGGCTGGTGGCTGCAGTATCAGTCAGGGAGTTCTGTCAAAAAGGGGGCTAGGAAGCAAGCCTGGGCCAGGACTGGCATCCTGGAGTTCCTGTCACTGTTCCTGGTGTGTCACAGGAAAAATCAGTGGTTGTGGCCCTGAAAAGAGCTACAGGGCTGGGCAGGCCACTAGCCAGTGCTGCAGCAAGACAGCCCACACTGGTCATGCTAGTGGCCACGTCTCCCAGACAGCTCTGTGCTCCCAGCTTGGTGTTACATGTCCTGAGGGCTGAAATTTCACATTGTGCTTTTGACTCTTGTCAATGTAGCTTGTGGGAGCTGTACCTAAAACCTGACTTGGAGCAAAGGGGGCCAGTTACCACTGGCTCCTGCCTGTGCCTCCCCTCAGGTGCCACAGGCAGGCAGTCTGCTCTGTCGTGTCCCCCTCGGCCCTGAGCTGGGAATTACACTCCCCTGGGACTCTGTAAATTTGCTCCTTGGTTTCTCAGTGCTGTCTTACGCAAACCTGCCAGTTGATTTCAATTCCAGCCAGGCCCTTCCCCGAATTAGCAGGGCCGTCACGGCTGCGTGGGGAGACAGAGGGCTCTGACTGTAATTTCAGTCTGAACCTGGTGCCTTGCCCATTGCTGTTTGCAGGGGGGAAGTCCAGGTGTCTGGATGCTTTCCCAGCCGGCTTCCCAGCTGGGCTTGTCGGTGGGTGCTGGATCCCTGCCTGCCGTGAATCCATTAGCTGTGCTGGAAATCTGCCCTTCCCGCCGCCGGCTCTGTCTCCCAGCAGGCAAACTGTGGTCTGGTGAGAATGCAGGACCAGTTACCAGCCTCTAGCATCTCTGTGGCACCTCCAGTCCATGCTCTGGGGGGGCTGAGGGTGTTGTAGGGCGGCGGGGGAAGCGTTTGCTTCTCCTGGGAGATCTTTAGGGATGCAGAAGGGGAAGTCATGGAGTGATGCTGCCAGGTGAGTCTCGGTGGCTGTGTCCCTCTTCACCACCTGGGAACTGGGCTCAGCACTGAAGGCCCTGGTTGGATGCCTCCCTGGGGGCACTGCAAAGCTGTTTCTGGGGGCTTGCAGCCCCCATTGGCATCTGAGTTTTTTGGCAAAATCCACAGTCGGAGTTGGGGCTGGGGCTGCCACTGTGCATGAGCACTTCCCAGGTCACATCAGGGCTCTGGGTTGGTGTGTTGCCCTTCAGGGACCTGGCCAGCTGTACCTTGCTCACTCACCAAGTATAGGAGATGCTGATTATTTTCTGTGGCTCTGTCACTTCTTGTGGGATCCCTTCCTTGGCTTTGCTACTCATGTCATTGCTGAGTTTTTGGTTTGCCTTAGCATGCTGGGCTCCTCTTTTCTTCCTGCTCAATCTCACAACCTGCATGATCCACTTCGCCATCCTTTTATAAACATTGAAACTGGTGATGCTGGCTCCAACCAGCAACCCACGTGCCTTGTTGAGCTGCAACCTCACCGATCTCTGTCCTTGCAGATCTACGTGAAGCAGCAGGACTGCACTGGCAGCCTCACTGGGGAACTGCAAGTGGCCAAGATGAGCTTGATCGACTTGGCAGGCTCGGAGCGAGCTTCAGTCACCAACACCAAGGGAGAGCGGCTCCGGGAGGGTGCCAACATCAACCGCTCGCTGCTGGCCCTCATCAATGTCATCAACGCGTTAGCTGATGCAAAGGTAACGCTGTTCTGACGCGGCCCCTCTGGGGTGGGTGAATGGGAGTGGTGTCCTCGAGCGATGGTTCTGCTGACGTGGTGAGGACGGCAGCCTGGGCTGGGCTCTGAGAGGTGCCGTGGGATGAGTGTGGCCGTCCCCTTGCAACGCAGGATTTGGAGCTGAGCACCCAAGGGCCAAAAGCTGAGCAGACCCTTGATCTCTTGGTACAGAGCAAGAAAACCCACATCCCGTACCGGGACAGCAAGCTCACACGCTTGCTGAAGGACGCCATTGGCGGCAACTGCCGCACCGTCATGATCGCTGCCGTGAGTCCCTCCGTCCTGGCCTACGAGGACACCTACAACACGCTCAAGTACGCCAGCCGGGCCAAGGAGATCAAGCTGTCGGTGAGGATCTCGCACTGCGTTGCGGCCGTGATCTGCTGTGTGCTTGGGAGCTGCTGGGGGTGGGGCGTGGGAAGGCGTCTGGCGCATGGTGGGGTAGATTAGTGGGTTCCTCCCTTAACCAGCTTGAGCTTGCCAGCCCTGGGGGTGCTGCTTGGCAGAAAGCAGCTGGTGAAGCTGCAGACAGTGTGTGCCCAGATGTCTTCTAAAGCTCCTCAGCCTAGAACCTAAAAAGGCTTGTGACTGCGGCACCAGGTCCCTGAGTGCAGATCGTGTCCGCTGCAGCCACCCCAGGTCTCCCTGGGGAGCATGGAGGAGGCTGAGGAGCTGCCCTGCTCCGGCGTCAGGAGAGGGGTATGTGCTGTCCCAGCACTGCTTTAACCTCTGCCTTGTCCCTGTCTCTGCAGCTGAAGAGCAACGTGACCAGCTTTGACTGCCGCGTTAGTAAATATGCTGTGGTCTGTGAGCAGCTGAAAGCAGAGGTGAGGTGCTGGTGGGGAGGGGAGGGCTCTGTCTTTAGCAGTGGTTTGCTTGGGATGTGGACCTCTGAGCTCCTGGGGGTCATGAGACCATCTGAGCAACAGATGATCCCTCCTCTCAGGTGGCAGATCTGCGGGCGAAGCTCCGTGCCTACGAGGACGCTGCCCGGGAATCGCAGAACCAGGCGCCTGCACTGCTGGCTCCCCCCTGCTTGAGCCCAGTGGGGCTGCCCAGGTGAGGCTGGTGGGGAGGAGAGACAGAGCTTGGTGTGACCTCCTGGTGTCCCTCATGCCGGAGTTTTAGTGCTGGTCAGAGCCCAGGTGTCCATCAGAAAGCAGATGAGCTTCTTTACGGGCGTGCACCATCATCTTGACTGTGGTTGGGTGTAGTTATGAGCCTGACAGACCACAGGGCACGAAGCTGGGCTGCAAAGGCCTAATCTTTTGGTTGATCCATCCCAAAACTTCTTGGGCAATGTGATGGCTTCCCCGGAGGATCTTCTCTGGTTCAGTGGCTTCTTCTCTGGCTTCTGTAGGTTGGAAGAAGCTGTCCCAAAGACCTGTTTGGCCCTGGATGATCAGAGGGAGAGTGATGGAGAGCAGCAGGAGCTGGGAGCTGGATGGCCTGTTCAGATGCAGCTGGAATTGGAGGAGGAGGTGAGACAAGGGGGTGGGCAGCATGGGATGTCTTGTCTTGATGAGTGGGCCCTGGTGGGGGGCTCAAATACCCTTATGGGGTACACTGGGAGAGGGCAGGAACTCGGCCAGTCCATGGGGTCCTGGCTCAGCATGTGCTGGGCTGTGGATTACTAGCAAAACCCCTCAACTTCCCAGCTAACAGGGAGTTTGGGGACCAAACTCGGCTCAAATACGGGCTAATCCTGGGCTCTTGGGTGATTGCTCCAGGCTCCAGAGGAAATGCCTCCCAGCAGCCCCAGAGCAACCCACCAGACAAACATCCAGTTGGAATCGAAGGAACCAAGCCGCCTTCTACAGGGGCTGTCCGGCAGCCAGACAGAGATGTGAGTGTCCTCGTGTTGTCCCCACGTGCCACTTCCTCTTGTTTGCCTGTGGAGGAGGGGGTGCCCACCCTCCTGTTGCATGTAGCCATCCTAAGGACAGTCTAGAAGGACGTGGGACCAGGTCTTTGCTTGCAGATGACAGTTTGCCCTGTAAAATAAGGGATTTGGCTGCTGGGGATCTAATCCCATGGGATAATCTCTCCTGGAAATGTCAGCCATGAAGGTTTCCAGGCACAGCAACTGTGTGAGCCTTAAGTGTGTGTTGTTAGTCCTGAAATTACCTCTGCGAAGTTTTTCCTTTTGCCTCGGCTCCCTCAGGTCCTGCCCTGGCAGGGCTCCCATGGCACCATCTGCTGATGTCTCTGCCCCAAGCATCTTGGCAGAATGAACCTCTTCAGAAAGGTCTCTTGAGGGAGGCTGGCCTTGATGTGTGCCTGGATTCTGTCTGCCTCTAGCTGAGCTAACGAGTGTCTGAAGCCCAGCAAAAAAATCTGGATGCTGTTTGGTCCCTTGTAACCAACAGGTGAACACAACTCACAGCTCAGGTTGTCCAGTAAGAGATTTCATAACTTCGGTATCTCACAACATCAAAGTTTGCGCCTCGTCCCCCAGAACTCTGCTAACGAGCTCTGCCCCACTTGAGGAGGTGTCTCGGCGGTGATGCTGGTGGTGCTGAGCCTGTTACTGGTGATGTACTGCCCCACACTCACCTGCTAACTGGTTCTTGGGTCTGTCTCTCTCTGTCCCCAGGCTCCTAGCTGCCATCCTGAGTGTTGCCCAAAAGCAGTATTCCCTCCTGAAGGCTGCCAACCTCCTTACTCCTGACATGGTCTCTGAATTTGAGGAGCTGGAGCGCCTGGTCCATCAGGAGGCTGGTGTAAGCCGGGAGCAAGCCATGTCTCCAACCAGACCCGCAGAGGTCAGCGGGGCCACCCCCGCCCAGAGGGTGCGGCTGGGCTCTGACGGTGAGGATTTGGGACGGTCACTGCTGTCCCCTCACTTTTGTCTTGGTGTGTGCTGGAGGAGTTGGCGGGGGGGGGGGCTCCCAGCTGTGGGCACAGGGCAGGGAGACGAGTTTCTCCTGACGTGGCGCCCAGCGGGTGATGCCCGGAGCGGCCGCAGCCTCGCTTTGTTAGAGCGATGCAGGCTAGCCAGCATCTCCGGCAGCCCGGGGCACGGCAGGAGCCACGAGCAGCCCTTGCCTCCGAGGAGCTCAGCATGTGTGTGCAAGTCAGCTTAAACGTGAGTGAGATTTTTGCTCCCGGAGACCAAAGCAGCAGTTCTGATCCTAATTTTTTCTCGTCTTGTTTACTCTTCCATGGCACATTTTCCCGAGTCAGCCTGGCTGTAGCCTCCCGGCCAGCAGCCTGTGTCTGAACAGGGCTGAGCTCTTCCCCGTCATCCTCAGTGCCAATACTGAGTGAATTTGTGGGCTTTGCAGACCCTGTTTTCTGGGGACAGACCGTGCATTGCCGTGGGGTGCTTGCCTTGGGACCAGTCTGATGCCTTTAGGCTGGCAAGGCGGGGGATTATTTGTGCTGGCTCTTTCCTTCTTGGTTTAACACAGTTCGATGGAAACACCCCGCTGGCTGCTGTAGGGCTTGCTGGGCAGATCTCCGCTGAGCTGGGATGGGGGGCAGAGGGGGATGCCCCAGGGTTTGGGGGTGTCTGGGAACTGCAGACGAGGAGCTGACTGTTTCTTCTCTGTTCCTTTAGCCGAGGAGTCTGTCGCCGTGCCCAGCACCCCTGTGACGGACGCCACGCCGCAATGCTTGCAGCAGCTCACTCTGCTCTCCGATCCCACCCTGACGGCTCTCAGCCCGATTAAGAAGAGGAGGAAGACTGAGATGAACAGCCCTTCCCAACCGGGAACTCCCCGCAGCCTCAAACAGCAGATGAAATGCCAGCAGAGACGTGGGAAAGAAGCAGAGACTCCCAGGGCAGCGCAGAGCCCAGGCGTGCCCTGTCTCAAAGCAGCAGCCCAGCCACGCCCCGTCTCCCTGGTGCCATCGTCTTTCACCCCTAAAAACTGCCCGCTGACAGCCACCAAAAGCCGCGTGCCCCTGGCGATGTCGGCTGCCCAAAACCACTGCCCCCTGCCCGTCGTGCCTGTCCACGACCTGAATGTGACTTTTGAGATCTGTGAGGACAGTGCTTTACCCAACGTGGCCGAGCCAGCTGCCTTCAGCCTGCCTGAGTTGTCTATCTGGGACAATGTCCAGGGCCTCCTAAACAAGCAGGACGGCCCCTTCGTGCCCAAGTAAGTGCTGTCCTGGGTGGGTTAACCGTGTTTTTGGAGTTACCCTGCTCTGTGGTCTTGCTGTCTGGGTGAATCCTTTGTGAATCACTGCAGCTCTAAGAGGAGGGACTGGGCAGAAGACACTCAGCCTGTGGACAGGCAGCCAGTGGGCTGAGCTCTTGTGTGAATCTCTTGCTTAAGATATAAAAAGCATTCCAAGAAAATCTTTCTCCTTCTCTTTTTCCCTTTGGACATGGAGGAGCATCCTCCAGATGGCTTCTGGAGCCACAAGTGCTGGTTGAGAAGCAGGTGGGGCATCATCCCTCCTCCCAGAGAGGTTGGAGTGAGGGTTGGGACTGTGCAGTGTGGGGTTTTTCAGGGTGTTATTTTATTTATTGCTGGTGCTTCAAAGAAGCTCTAGCTTTTAGAGCTGCATGCATTTGTGAGACCATACAAAAAAAGAGATCAGCATGCCCTTGGTAATACAAAACACACCCCTAGGCCTCCCTACCTCCTATAGCTATAGGAAGTAGTTCCTATAGGGTGTAACTGAGGAAACTGAGGTACAGGGGAATAGCCTAACCACCTTAGGGAGCAGCAGTACCTGGGCAGCTGCCACCTCCTGCACAGATCTGAGGATTTATCCCTGTTTGAAACATTTTCCCCTACAGAACCAGGCAGGTTTCTTGTGACTTCTCTTCCCTGTGGATGGATGGTGCTGGCCTGGTTGTCCCCCAGCCTCATGAGAGCAGGCGGGGAGGATTTGGCCCTGGCACTAACTCCCTTTTCCTTGGCTGCAGATCCTGCATCCCGGCGTTTGCCGTGAGGGGTTCCTCCATCCCCAAACCCTCCTCGACCTCCAAACTGTCTGCGCAGAAGCGGAAGCGAGCGGAGAGGTGAGACAGGCGCCGTGCCCTGCGCAGGCAGCGAGGGCTGGCAGCTCCTGCCCGTCCCTGCCTGCGCCAGCTCCCCCTCACCCGGGACACCTGGGGACACGGCGGGTTTAAAACAGCCCCTTTCTCTTTCACAGCACCTCTTTCTCCACCCTGGGCAGGCTCCAGAGCCACATCACCCAGGTCCCGAGCAGAACCCCGAGGTCTGCGCAGCCCTCCCGCGCCTCAGGTGAGCCCTCTGCACCCAGACAGGCACCCGGGGAAACCCCTTCCCACAGCACCGTGGGCTGCAGGAGTGATCCCTGCCGCGGGACAGGCACCAAACTGGCCTTGTGCCCAGCCCCATTTCAGTTCAGGCAGGGAAAATACCTGGAACTGGGATGCTTGGTGCTGGTGGAAGGTGCTGTTTGGGGTTTGCTGCTTCCTGGCTGCAGCCACAGCCTCGGGGGAGGGTGGTGGGTGCGTAGAGAGGGGGCTTGCAGTGCCTGGGTCTCTGTCAGGAGGGGACCTGGGTTTGCTGCTTTTGCCCAGGAGCTGCCTCATCCACTTCTTTTCCCAGCCTCAGAACGCCCGAAGGGCAGCAAGAGGACCTCCAAAGATCTCACAGCACTTGCCAGCGCCCCCTCTGCTCCCACCCCCCAGCCAATGAAGCTCTTATGCTGATGGCTGCTCCATCCACCGTCCCTCCCACTGTTCAAACCCAGGTGCCAAACTTCCCCCTTCCTCTCGTTAACCCTCTCCCAACCTTCCTGCAGCCCCACAACGCTCCCCCCAAGCCCTTCTTGTACCTCTGAATTCACCCCCAGTCACCTCCTGTCCAGGGTCCCAGTTATGTCCCCCGTTGCGTGTTTCTCCCCCTCGGCGCAGCCCTGTGTATTTTTGCAGCAGATGGATTATTGTTGTTCCCTCTCAGCCCCTCTCTAATCTGCGCCGGGGTGTCGAGTGCTAACAGATGGGTGATGCTAAGAAATAACACGCGCTTTTAATAAATCTTTTCGTTTCAAACCAGAGGGCTGAGGGGAGACATGCGGCTGTTCCTTCTCGCCTCCCCCTCGCGCAGGGAGCTGGGATGGGGTAGCAGCTCCTGTCTGAGCGGGCCTGGAAAAGGCCCTTGCTCGTGGGGGTGGGCTCTGCCTTGGCTTCCCCCATCTCCCATCCCCTTGGCTGGGCCTGGGGGGGCTGGGCTGCTTGCTGGATGTCCCGGAGTGCAGGCGGGGGGAGGGTGGAGGCTGCCTGCCTTCCCAGCTCCTGCCCCTTTCCGTAGCGACGGGGGAAAAGTGTTTCTGGGCTGTTTCCCCCCTGCTAACTCCCCCTCCCTGCCGCCCCTGCCTCCTTGTCCCCCTGGGATCTTCACTTCAGCTGCCTGCAAAGCCCTGGTCCTGGGGCATCCCTACCTGGGTACCCACCTGTCCCCTGACACCCCCATCACCCCCTTTCCTGCCAGGCCTGGGCACATCTGGCCACCTGCTCTAGCTCCTCGTAGCCACCCTCAGAGGTGACCAAGGGTGGCAGGACCCAGCACCAGGCACACTGCTGTCCCGGGGGGACCGGGGTCACCGGCTCCTCCTGCCCTACTTTCCTGCTTGGCGGTGGCTGATCTCGCCCTTGTCTTCTCAGAGGCTGGAAGCTTCTAATTAAAACTTCCAGCCTGCTCCCAGTTCGTTCGCCTCATTAAGAGGGGGGCCAGGGAGGGGGAGAGCCCAGCTCTGCCTGCCCGCAGCCTCCGGGAGTGACAGCTTTCCGTGCTTTGATCCCGGCTGCGTAGGAGCTGGGAGAAAATAAATCTTTGGGGAGCGGCGCGGGGGCTCGTGCAGGACCCTGCAGCCCCTCCCCACCCCCCAAGGCTGTGCACACCAGGGGACTTAAAGTCTCTAGGGCTGGAGGTCCCCTGTCACCATGGGCTGTCACACAGCACGTGTCCCCGGGGCTGGCGCTGTTCTGGCAGGCTGGGTAACGCAGGTGCCCCAAACCAAGTGGTTTTGTGGGCAACCCCCCTGCCCGTTGCTGGTGACACCACAGCTGGGGGGACACGGGGCTGGCTGGGGACAAGGAGCTTGGGGGGACTAAAGGAGGATGTGGGAGCAAGAGGTTGTCTTTGAGCCCTGCCCCAGTGCTACCAGTCCCACCAGTGTGACCCTTCCCTGGCTCTGGGTCCCCACAGATTGCACCCGTGGGGCCACAGCCATTGCCACTACCCTTTCTGACTGGCTGCTGGCGGTGGCCCAGCGCTGGTGGCAGTGGCCCATGGCCACGTGTCCTGTCCCAGAGCGGGCAGGGAGCCTTTCCCGGCCATCGGCTGCCACCTAGCTGCCAGCCAGCGAGCCCTGTCCCCAGCCCTGTCCCCACACCGTTCCCACCAGCACCCCAGGGTCAACACCCCCCTCACCCAGCTTCATCCCAGCCACCTCTCCAGCCACCCGCCCCAATGCCATCACGAGTCCCTGTGTCCCCAAAACATCCCCGGCCCCTGCTCGGGCTGCCCCCAGGGCCTGGCCGTGCCCCAGTTTGTGGCTCAGAGGGGACAGGGCTGGCAGTGGCCCCGTGCCCGTCACCACCGCCCCTGGATCCGTTCCCCCCCCCCGTGTTTCCCGGCAGCGCGGTGCCCTGGCACAAAGCCACCCCACGGCTGTGCCGGCCAGCACCGGCTCCGGCCCCACACAAAAGCCCCTTTCAGCCGCCTGGGGAAAGCCCCTGGCACCCGGTCCCCACCCGGGGAGGGGTCCCTGCCCTCGCTCCCCCCTCCCACCCCCTCTGTGGGCCAGCGCAGGGCAAAAGACCCCCCCAAACTCAGTGCACGTGTGACTGGTGACGTGTCCACGCACACGCCACGGAGGTTGTGGCAGGATCAGGCCCCTCCGGAGCTGGGAAGGGGGAACCCGGTGTCCTGAGCCCCAGCCAGGCTCCAGCAGCGACCAGCCAGCGCTTTTACAGACCCAGTGGGGTGGAAAGGACTTTGGAGGCGTCAGCCACTTAATTAGCAGCCTGCCTTAATTAGCAGCCTGCCTGCGCTGCCAGCCTGCCCGCAAAGTGCCTCGGCCCACTGGGGAGACGGGGCTGTGCTGGTGGGGCTGAGCTGCTCGTCCGACACGGGGAGCGTGAGCGTGTGAGCACAAGGGCGCCCTGTGTGTGAACATGTGTGTGTGCACACGTGTGGACGTGTGTGCACGTGCGTGTTGTGTGTACGTGGAAGGGTAGCTGGGCGTGTGCACACGTGTTTGGGGAAAGCAGCACACGTGTGCCCCTGTGCACACCACGTGCGTACACGTGTGCGTGCAAGGGTAGGCCTTGCACGTGGAGTGTGTGTGCACATGGGCGTGGACAGATGGACGTGCGCGTGCACATGTGTGGGCACGGGTAGAGACACGCATGTGCATCTCTAGGTGTATGTGTGCACGCACGTGCGGATGTACACGTGTGGCCGTGGATGTTCATGTGTGTGGGTGTGCACATGCGTGTGTGTAGGTGCCACTTTCCAGCTGTGTGCATGGGGCGGTGTGCGTGCGGGGGCGTGTGCACACACAGATCCATCCCAGCAGCGTGCCTGGGGTGGGTGCACATGTATCACACGTGTGTGTGTGTGTGCACGGGGGGTGTGCACGTGGCAGGGGGTGTGCACACACATGCAGGCGTGCACAGGGGGTGGCCGTGCACACGCACACCCCCGCCTGCCCCGTGCGCCTCTGCCCTGAGCACCCCAAGGGTGTCGTGGGGCCGGATCCCCGGGGTGGGGGTGCAGCCCTTGCAGCAGGGACCCTGGGACCAGGCACCCAGCCTCGCACCCAGCACACGTGGGGACCCCACGGCACTGCACCCAGCACCCACAGCACCCTGTGGTGTTGTACCCAGCACCCGTGGGGACCCCACGGCACCGCACCCAGCACCTACAGCACACTGTGGCGTTGTACCCAGCATCTATGGGCGCCCCACGGCATGGCACCCAGCACCCACAGCACCTTGTGGCATTGTACCCAGCACCTACAGCACCCTGTGGTATTGTACCCAGCACCCATGGGGACCCCACAGCATCACGCTCAGCACCCACAGCACCCTGTGGCATTGTACCCAGCACCCATGGGGACCCCACAGCATCACATCCAGCACCCACAGCACACTGTGGTGTTGTATTGAGCACCCATGGGGACCCCACGGCACCGCACCCAGCACCCACAGCACCCTGTGGCGTTGTACCCAGCACCCATGGGGACCCCACGGCACCGCACCCAGCACCCACAGCACCCTGTGGCGTTGTACCCAGCACCCATGGGGACCCCATGGCACTGCACCCAGCACCCACAGCACCTTGTGGCATTGTACCCAGCACCCACAGCACCCTGTGGCATTGTACCCAGCACCCACAGCACCCTGTGGCGTTGTACCCAGCACCTGTGGGGACCCCACAGCACCGCACCCAGCACCCACAGCACCTTGTGGCATTGTACCCAGCACCCATGGGGACCCCACAGCATCATATCCAGCACCCACAGCACCCTGTGGCATTGTACCCAGCACCCATGGGGACCCCACAGCATCATATCCAGCACCCACAGCACCCTGTGGCATTGTACCCAGCACCCATGGGGACCCCACAGCATCACATCCAGCACCCACAGCACCCTGTGGCGTTGTACCCAGCACCCATGGGGACCCCACGGCACCGCACCCAGCACCCACAGCACCTTGTGGCATTGTACCCAGCACCCACAGCACCCTGTGGCGTTTTACCCAGCACCTGTGGGGCCCCCACAGCATCGCACCCAGCACCCACCCGTGGTGCCCTGCAACGTTGCACCCATCACCTCTGTGGCACCCACATTGCACCCAGCCTTTCACCCAGCCCCCACCCACCCCACGGGTGCCCGTGGGCCCCCCCCCCCCCCGGCAGTGCCCGCGGGGTGGGGGGGGCAGCGGTGGGGGGGCAGGGGGCTGTGCCGTGGCGCCCGGGCTGGGTGCCAGGGCGCATCCGCCCCCGCCGGGCGCCACAAAGGCCGGTTTTTGTGCCGGCCCTCTGGCTCCCTGGCCAGCGGCCAGTGCTGGAGTGGCCGGCGGGGCCGGGGGCCCCCGGGCTCCATAAAACCCCCGGGCCGGGCACATCACGCCCACCCCTTGGGCATGGAGAGCCAGCGGCTGTCCTCCTACGGCCGCCGCTTCGGCCCCGCCACCCTGGTGTACCGGGTGCTTCCCACCAGCCCCCCAGGCCGGGCCCGGGCCCCCCGCAGCACCCAGCTGGCTCCCCGCACGGGTGCCCGCCTGGGCTTGGGCAAGATGGACTTCTCGCTGGCCGCGGCGCTCAACTCGGAGTTCAGGGAGACACGCACCAACGAGAAGGTGGAGATGATGGAGCTCAACGATCGCTTCGCCAGCTACATCGAGAAGGTCCGGCTCCTGGAGCAGCAGAACAAGGTGCTGGTGGTGGAGCTGAACCAGGCGCGGGACCAGGAGCCCTCGCGTCTGGCCGACGTCTACCAGGAGGAGCTGCGTGACCTGCGGTGCCACGTGGAGCAGTTGGCCACCGCCAAGGCCCGTCTGGAGATCGAGAAGGAGAACCTCGCCGAGGACCTCGGCAGCCTCCAGCAGAAGTAAAGTGCTGCCCTGCTTGGGGTAGTCCCGGGGAGCAAGGTGGCCACCATGACCAGGGAGATGACGGGGACCGGGGTGGTGATGAAACCAAGGTGGCCCACCAGAAGCAGGGTGGCCCCGGGGACCAAGGTGGCCACCAAGATAGGACTGAGAATGGCCACTGGGATGGGCGTCAGGGTGACTATGAGGACCAGAGTGGTTACTGGGACCAGGATGGCCACCAGGATGGTGATCAGGGTTGTCCTAGGGACCAGGGTGGTGGCAAGGACCAGGGTGAGCCCTGGGACCAGGATGGGGACTGGGATGTCCCCAGCTATCGGGGTGGGCACCGCGACAGAGACCCGTGTGGCCAGCAGGACCGGGGTGACCCGGGGGACTACGCAGTGCCGGGCACCAGGGTGGTGACGGGGACATGGGTGGCAACAGAGGGACT